CTTTCAAAAGCAATTAATGGCTAAAACCTCGTGTGCTTTTTCGTCCTGATTTAAAGTCTTTGTATTATATATAAAAATTAAAATAATATCTAGAGCATCACATTTATGGTTCAAGTAATTGGATGTCTGCTAGTTACTGACTACCCAATTATTAGTCCCATAAATGCAATGTTCCAGATATTATTTTTATTTTTATATATACTACAAAAACTTTAAATCATGACAAAGGAGAACACAAGGTTTTAGCCATTAATTGTTTATAAAAGATGGAAATAAAGTTTTGAAGATGGGAATAATTTCTGAAACGTCAACTTGGAATGAATTATAGCAAATAAACTATTTCTTATATACTTGGAAGTTTTTTATTGCCAAAAACAAAGAAAATCAAACAGATTTCTAGCAATAAAAGAAGAGTAAATATAGTTTTATTATTTCTAATAATCTTCTTCTAATAGCTATATTTTTATTTTATTTATTTTAAAGCTTGAGTAAGAATAATTTTTACCCTGACTATCTACGGGTATTGCAATTTGAGTATTTATTACAATCATTAAAAAAAAATGTTTATTTGTTTTTAAAGTAAAAGATTTCTTAAAATTATTTTAATTTTATTCAAGTGCCATCTAAAAAAAAATACTGCAATCAGAAATATCACAAGCATGTTGAAAAAAAGGAAGTGATTACTAAATTATTACAAATTCTTGAAATGTATATTTGAATAAATTTATTCATTTGAAGATTGCCGTTTCTTTACAAAAAAAAAAAAAAAGAGTTAAGCTCAGCAGTAAGTATTGAAACATTACAATCACCTTTATTTATTTTAATTTTATTAAAAGAATAGAAATAATATGATGATTTCAGCTTGTTTTTTTTTGCTTAAAACAATGTCTCCGTAAAATTATCAAAATTATTATTCAGTTTAAATACATATAATTATATCCAATATATATACATACAGATGATCCATATCTTACCAAATTGGAAAATAATCTATTCATGTTTAAATTTAATTGTATAAAGTATGAGTTATGGAAATATTACATGGGAATTTTTAATATGGGGGTTTAAATAATTGAACAAAGTTATTTTTTTCTAGATTATTATAATAATCATACAAAATTTCGTAGAGATATATTTTGAAGTTTTCTGGCAAAAAAAAGAAGTTATAAGCTTAGTACACAATAGCATTACAATCTATTATGTGGTATGAATTATGTCAAAATAATAAAAGATTTGACATAAAACCTCAGTAATATGAAAAATTCAAAAGTTTATTTCACACAAAATTATTTTGTTCGTTGCACTGAATAATAAATGAAAAGTTGTAGAATTATCAAACTAATGTAAGAAATATTATAGATTTTCTATTTTTAATTAAAAGTATATCAATGAGTTTCCTTTTTATCATATTATATACTATTATTATACATATATAGATATAGTTGTAATTATATTTGATTATATATGATTTTCTTTTCTTTACTGATTGAAAGTTGTTTAGATTATGCCAGAGCACTATTCATCTATAACTTTGTGATGTGCCTGAAAAAACTTATAGTCTATTTATATTTATCAGATATGTAAATAAATATTTTTATATTTTTGTATAAAATATTATTGATTGTAATCAAAATATATTTAATAAAATATACTTAAATTTAAACATTATGCTCAATAAAAAAACAAATCGACAATTGTAATTAATGTCTTTTTATGCCTCATTGTTGTATTAATATTGATACATAAAAATAGGACAATTCTTTAAAGCAACAAAGCTTTAAATTTGACAGAACACTATGGTTTGTTATCATTTAACTAAGATATCATTATATTAAAAATAAAATCAATATCTAAACATATTTTTTTTCCTTATATGTACACAAATAATTCATTTTTTTATTACAGGTTATTTCTTGGAAGTGTTTTTATCTACTGTCTGGCTTTATTATTGTTACAATTATTATTAACTTTCTTATTCTAAATATTAATGTTTAAACAAAACTGTCTGTTAATATGGTTTGTTGGAATAAAAGTGTTATTATTTCATAAATTATCATAAGAAATAAGATGATCCCTGGTCCGCAAACATAGTTAATCTTAGAATTATAATAAAGGAAGTCACTATTACAGCTATGTAGAGTCCTACGGGAATTTGGAACATTTGCAACGGAGACAGAATCTAGGGAGCATCAATTTTTTTTTTCGTTAAATAAAACATATTTGATTATGCTTTTTGTTTATTATTAACTTAATTCGTTTGATAAAAATGAGTTAATGTTGTGAGATAATAATATTAATTCTGAAATATTTTATTGAAAATATTTTTATAAAACTGTTGACTTTTATTTGGAATCGCAGGAAGTAAAAACGTTAACTTGGCAAAATTAAGCTTGTCCCTGTGTAAAAAAATCCTAGGCCCTACTAGTATGAACCATTTTCTTTTAGTTGTTTATATACTTTTAGTTAATTTTTTAAGTAGTTTTATTAGGGTTTGGAACAGGTAATAATTTATGTCACATACGTGATTGTTTTCTTTCTTTTTCAATATTTCATCTGAGGACAATTTAGTTGCAAATAAACAGTAAGTTATATCCACCAATCGATAAAATGTGGTTTAGAACTCAATTTTTTATTCACACACATAACACTTGATAAGTCAAATCCGTTCAAATCTTCACTTTCATTCTAACAAATCCTCATAGTGTAGTAAGTACCATGAAAATAATAAATAGATACATATTTTTATGATTATTTTAATTATTTGATTGTATTTATCTTTTAGCAATATTCAATAATAGATTTTATAAATTAATTTACAATAATTTTCAAAGGATTTTCTTCATATTGTTTTTAGATTTATCTTTATTTCAATTTTGTTTTTATTCAAAATTGAAATGTCATTTTTCGGCTATTATTTTTGTCTTTTATAGCATTATGTTGTCACTATTGTTGAAGTTACAGAGTATAGGTTTCAGCTTAGTTATTGCCATCAGTTCAGGTGTTAGATTCTTTCCACTGATTCCAATAATTCTATTAATTTTTTTCAAAATTAAAATGTATTAAATATTGGGTCATCTTTAATTCATTAGGAAACTCATGACATAGTTGGGAACATAACTTTTGATTTTTTACAAAAATTGTCACAAAACATTAATGAACCAACATTTCTAATTTCCAAAAGCCACCATTTAGGAGCCAATATCATTAAGATGAAGCTACAATATTACTAATTTTCTAGAGACCTGTGATATAATGAAGCCTGAGGAAAGCCTTCTGGATTTCCAATACAATTATAAAAAAATATTGAAGATCATAGATACCATTAGTTACAATAGATAACACCTGAAATACCTATCTACTTTTCCAAAGAAACATGATAGGTAATCCAAATTTTTTTGAAACCTAAAATTGATTATAAGACCTCTCTAGAGAGCTGTTATTCTCAAAATATTGCTTATTACCTATTACTTACATAATTTAAATGGTTTTACAGAAGTCAGTAGTGGATATATTTTTTGTTTATTTATATGAAATGACAAATAAATTAATATATTGTATTTATAATGCAGTGCTTATCTACTATCTGGTTGGCGCTACAACCTGAGGATGGGTTTTGGATTCCTCTAGCAGCTTCCACCATCCAGCTTGATCTGCTGTCTTTCAGTTCAGTGTTCCTAGAGTATCCTAGAGTCAGCCCCCACTCCGTTTATCCATCTTAGCCTGGGTCTGCCTCTCCTCCGGGTGCGGTCTCTTTTGGGACTCTGGTGCTGACTCTTTTGAGAATATCACCCTCCTCCATCCAGATCACATGGTCATCCCAAAACTTAACCTTTCAAGTTTTATAAAATTGACAACATTTGTCATTATACAAAGTATACAACACCCCGTTTCTTCGTCTTTTTCAAACTTCTTCTTTCACATGGTCGTATATTTGTCACAAAATTTTCTGTTTGAATATAAGGAGGCTATTTTCATCAGCCTTTATCATCTTCCATGTTTGTGAGGCATAGGTAAACACTGACCTAATCAAGGTTTTGTATAATATTGTCTTGTGAGTAGCTGGCTCCTGATCTCCCCCCTTAAGCCAAAATGGCAACAGTTGGCTGCCACTATCTTCTTCCCTATTTCCTTTGACATGCCAATGGTTGAGGTCACGAGAGATCCGAGGTAGGTAAATTCCTGTACTCTTTAAAATTTGTATGGGCCTATTTCTGTAAAACTTTCATCTTGTTGAACTCCGTCAGCCTTTACCAAAATATATTGTATTAGAATAGGCAAAAGTCAAGTACGAAAAATAAAAGTTTTTTCTGTTAGGTATTTTAAAGACTTCTATGAATATTATTATTATTTTCACATTTCTTAATAAAATAAGAAACAATCCTTGTCACTCGCTATCATAATCTTTTTGTATAAAGTAGTATCTCCAAAAAAGACATTAAACTTTAAATAAATCTGTTCTAAATTTTTTTTTTTTTCATTTCAATGGGAGCCTGTATGGTAAAGTGTAATCCATGATATAATGGTTTATATATATATAATTTTTCCCATCTTAATTCTTATAATTATCTCTCATTTTCATTTTAATAAAGAGTACAATTCAGCCTTACAAAATTTCTTCTGAAAATATTTGAGCAGAATCATGAAGCAGTCAGTGTTTTTATTATTTTCAATAAAAAAACAAAACAAGAAACAATTACTTACATGTGGTCATGGACTGCATTGTATCTATTCACATTGAAATGGGCATAACTCAAAAAAAATCTTTTAGTTTAAAACAAAAATGAGTTGTAGCTAACATTTGAAGATTGCTCACTACAACTATATAAGGTCTCATTAACGAAATTTTGACAATTATTATTTTAAATTTTATCCATTTGATTTTAGATATGATAGATAAATGATTCTTTAATTTTATTTGGTAATATTACTAATTAATAAATAGCCTACCATTTGAATTTGTTATAATATTTTGAGCTTAAAATATATGGAAAATGTTTTAGAACAATGAAACACTTCAGTTTGCCAGCGGCTTAAAGTATAGATCTGATGCAGTATGGGCCATGACAGTCAGGCTTCAGAACTACATCATAGCCAATGTTTCTGCAAACGAAGTCAACTATCGAGTGGTGAGAGGTGATGCTTGGACTCTAACTGTAGGTAACAGTTGCCATAAGAGTGGGGCTGCTGGAGTTTACACAGATCGACCAAAATCTCAAGGTGGCTATCGGCCATTTATATTTCAATAATGGTAGTGATTGATTTACAAATATTTTGTGCTGTAAAGCATTAAACTTTTAAGCAGGGTAAAATATTCCACCTTACTAAAGTCAGTAATATATATTTTTATTTATGTACTTATAAATTAAAATTAATGTAGTTTCATCAAAACATAAAAATAATAAATATGTATTGTTGATCAAAAGGCAAAGTCACAAACATGGAAAAAAGGTAAGTTTTTCTAAATTCAAAGATTAAAATTATTCTTGTGCCAAGTTACTTGTAACTAAAACCATGAATGTAATTTCTTTGATTTGTTATGGCCAAAGGAAACTTCAAATTTAGTTTTCTAAATATTAGAAAATTGCATCTTTGTGGTTTTGCATTTGTACTGAAAATGAACATTCATATTTATTATACTTTTTTAAAATCTTGGAAGCCTATTTTACTTTAATGTGTAATTAAAACATCAATCTTAAAATACAATTTTCATTTTCAATTTTTAAATGAAATGGAAAGTACATTTTTATTTACTGAAAATAGGGTTTGTTTTATTTTTTTGTTATTATTATGTCGTTTTTTTAATAAAATAAAAATCATAAAAAAGCTCTACACATACATAAAAATAGTAATTATTTTATACTATTAGTTAACATAAATAAGAGTAAATACTTCAATTTCAATTTGTTTTAGTTTAATGATAAATTCAATAAATGTAACATCTAAAGATTTCAGTAATTTTTGGAATATTTCTTATTTCAATATAAATTTATATTTTTTAATTAACACCATATTAGAAGGTGATCAAATACATGGACTAATATATGTAACAATCAAGTTTGATTAATTTAGTAAAAAAACATTAATTTGTTTGCCACTTATTCTCAGGCAAAATATTTTTTGTTTCAAAACTAATGCTAATTGAAAATTTATTGTAGTTACAAATTATTTTCCATATCATGGTTAAATATCTCATAATCAAACAAAGTTGAAAACCTGATTTCTACAATGTTTATCTCAAATTTATTTATCAAGTTAAATTTTCAATCTATATAATTCATTTAATATGCTTTCAATAAAACTCCAGATCATACACAAGATCTTGCTCATCAGACATAAAATATTTTTTCTGCTTCTCAATTGAGTACATAACTAAACCTGTTATTTTTGTTTTTTTTGTATGTGCCATATTAAAATGTAGGCCTTTTTAATTCCACATCATTTATGGAATACATGAAAAAAGATGATATTGAATATTTTATAATTTAAAATTAAGAACATAAAATTTATTATTATATGAATTTTTTTAGTTGAATGATAATAAACATATTTTTAATATTGTATTAAAATCCAGTTTTTTAAATGTTTGTATACTTAAATTTAATCTTTGCTTCTTGATATAAAAAATTCATTATCTCTTTATATAAGTCTAAAGTAATGTATTAAGCTAATTAAATATATGGCAAATTCAAACAATATCAAACTCATTGTCAGTACTGGACTAACTTAAATCAGAAAGTTTCAAAACAATTTTTTTTTTTTGTCTCGTTCTGTTAATAGATGGCAACACTATTTTTAATCTAAGGAGATATTAATTATAAATGTACATTAATTATTTTCAGCAAAAATAGAATTATTAAATATTTTGAGAAAGGAGCAGGAATTAATAGGGTACCAGATATCAATTAGATAAAAAATAATCAAATATACTATTTTTGATTATGACTACTGAATGTTATCAATTTGGAGAGATATATCTGATGAGAAGTATCTTTAGTAATTCTGATTAGTTTTGATTATTGAAAAATAATGCTTGATCCAAATATGTAAGCCTAGTGGATAGTTGGACTGTTCCATATTTATTGAATTTTCCTGTTTAGCTTAATTATAATTTTTATTTTAATAATATTTTAAGCAACTCTTTCATGTACACATTTGCTTCAGGAAAGACGTATGATATTGTAATAAAAAATATTTGTAATTTTTAATCCTTGAAGTAATGATGAAGCTATCATTGGGTAAGATGTATTAATAAGATATTCATATTAATAATAATAAATTTAACTAAGAATAAGTATATAATTTATTTAATGTAACTATATCTAAAATTAGTTTTGTTTCTTTATAAAATAAGTATGAAAATTTAAATATGTCAAAAGGACAGTTTCCACCAACCTATGACTAAGACTAATGGTGAATATCTTTTATAAAAATTTATTATAATTTGCTATAATTGTTTGTTTATTATAATAATTGTTAAAGAATCAAAATTGGCTATTATTACATTTTGTATAATTGTTTACTTTTTGTAATATAATTTAATGTAAAAGGCCATGTAGATTTAAGTTATCATAAATATCAATATGCTAATTCATAAGTTGCAGGAACTTAAGCCATTTTCATATATTTTGTTTATTATAATATTTATTTAAAATTATTTCAAATAAGATTTAATTTTATTTAATATAATTAAAAATAAATTAGTTTTATTTATTTATAAAAATGTTGAAGAATTTTGTTGATAGTGTAAAATATACATATATTAATTAAATAAATCCATATTTATTAAAAAAATTCCTGAATTTCATTATTCAACTAAATATAAATAAACAACGTAACAGTGAAATTTAAAACCATTCATATCTTCTTTACTATCCTTTTGAAATTGATCATTTATTTTTTCTTTATTATTATCACATTTTTAGGACTTTCTGAATTTATTGGATAAAAATAATTGAATCTGAGTGATAACGATGGTCATGACAATTTTTTCTTTTCAACAATGTATTATACATGTGCATGTTGACTTATTTTCATAAATTCGTTTTTAACATAAGACACATTTTTCCATTATTCCTTCTTTAGTCAGTAATGGAATTCGTAGTTTATATTTAGCTATTTATTATTATTATTACTAACCATGAGACTGTTAATTAGTTCAAGTCTACCCTATTAAAGATTATATCAGCATTTAAGCTCTTCCAGACTACATCCCTGTGAATAAGATATATCTTATATGCAAAACCATTTAATTGAACACAAGCATAACAGGTTGCTTCATCTTAGATTATAAAAAGCAGCTTAACATGTAATCATGAAATGGAAACTTGGTTGTTTAATTTCTCTCCTTGACAACTGGATTTAATCATTAATTAAGTCTTAATAAGTTTTTAATTTTTAATAACTTAATTTAAATCTTTATAATCAATTATGTTGCCAGATATTTTTTCCTATACTTAGTATTTCCTATATTTAGTTCAAAAAATTATTTTGAATTACAAAACTTAGGAGAGAGTGGCCAATGTCCCCAATTAAGAACATATGAAAAATCGAAAGACAAAATTTGATGAAATGAATTAAAATGATGAAATGAATTAAATTGTAAAGGACTAAATTTAATTAAATTATAAAGTCCATTTTTTACTTTTCTACCTATACTGGGTAAGAAAAGTATTGTGATAGGGTCAAATTGAGAGCCCTTTAAGTCCAAAAAACACATTTTTAACCATTGGTCTGTCTGTGCCAAGATTATCTCGGGTACAAGAAAACTGATTTTATTGTTGTTTTTTTTTGTAGGATTTTGACTACTGGTGCCTGTGACACGAATTAGGTGCTCCCTGCGCAATAAGTGAAAAACATATTTTTCTATAGACTGTAGCGCAAAACGGTTTAGATGAAACTTTTCTATAATTTTCTAATAATTGCCCTTTTAATTTTCGTATGTATACTAAATTACCGAGAAAATTCATGAAAAAGTTATAGAAAAAATTTTTGGGGCCTAACTCGCTAAGTATATATTCCATGGTACAATTTATAATAACTTTTGAAAGGTAATTTAATCACCAACAAATCAAAAAAAAAAAAAAAATCATTGGAATTGAACCAGTATTAGCCATGAAACAGCGTATTCTATTTTCTACACAGATTTTAATTTATTAATTTCCTACCTACGCCAGGTAAGGAAAGTATTGAGATTGGGTCAAATTTCCAATATGTGGTTCTCGACAGATCTATACATTTCACAGCCCCTTGAATCCGAAAAACACATTTTTGGCCACAGGTTGGTCTGTCTGTGGCAAGATTATCTCGGAAACTAGAGAACCGATTTTGTTGCTTCTTTTTTTATTTTGTAAGGTTTTAATGACTGATGCCTAAATTTATAGGCATTATTTAATTGTCCATTCAATTTTTGTACATATACTAAATTCCCGAAAAACACTGTTTAGCCTGTTTTTTGAAAGGTTATTACATAAAACCTTCATTTCGAACAACTATTAACGAAGTTATATCTATTTGATTTCGTATGTAAGATTACAGGTTCATATGATGGTGTCAGAAAGAAAAGAAAATCTGTTGCCAGCATCACTATTTCCTCTACTTTTAACATAAATTACTGTGACAAAATTAAAAACATATTCAATAGACATAGCGGCCATCCAAGAGATCAGGTGGACTGGACAAGGCAGCCTTAAGAAAGGCCAGCACACCATTTATTCCAGTTGTCATGACCGATTACACTCGTTTGGGACTGGATTCATTGTGGGAAGAAGAGTGACCCAGCAAGTTATAGATTTCAAGCCTATCACCCCCAGACTCTGTGTCTTGCGAATCAAGGGAAAGTTTTACAATATCAGCATCATCTGTGTACAGGCACCTACAGAAGTCTCTGAAGATGAAATGAAAGACGAATTCTATGAGGAACTGGAGAAGTGCTTTGATGACTGCCCTGCTCATGATATGAAAATAGTGATTGGAGACTACAATGCTCAAATTGGAAGAGAGAAAGCATTTAAGCCTACTATAGGAAGAAATATCCTTCATGAGAACTCTAACGACAATGGAAAAAGGGTGGTGAACTTTGCAGCCTCTAAGGGTTTGGTTGTGGGAAGTACCTATTTCCCGCATAAGTTAGTACATCTAGAAACATGGAGGAAATTCGGACGAACGGATCCACTACAAGCTCTCAGATCGATCATGTATTCATCAGCGCCAGATATAAATCCTTATTACTTGATGTTCGTACAAAATGAGGGGCTAACATTGACTCGGACCACTACCTTATAATTGCAAAAATAAGGTATTGGATATCAACAGTAAAGTACCAGCCTCGACGTTCTTTGAAGAGGTACAATATTGATAAGTTTAAGGACAGTGATACAAGCATTAGATTTTCATACCAACTGGACGTCAGATTAAGGAACTCTGTCCCAGAATCAAATCTCCAGTCACAATGGAACTCATGCCGCACTGCACTTATGGAAGTAGCGAACGAGGTTGTAGGGGATAAGACCAAGCAGATATATAACCCGTGGTTCGATGACAAATGTGGTGCAATGACCAAGAGAAAAAACATTGCATACAATAAAATGATGCAAAGGAAGCACACACGAAGCTCTGTCATCTCCAAAAACACTAGAGAATTCTTCCAGGTTATTAATAAAGGAAGAAAGCCCTTTATCGCCTGTACCACAGGATGCAGAGCAAATGATGGCTCCTTAGTAACTGACAAACAAGGCATTTCGGACAGATGGACTGAATACTTTTCAACTCTTCTTAACAGAAATGGCACAAATGTCTCAGAGGCAAATGATTCAATTACAGGTGGTGAAGACGTAGAACCACCAGACAAGGAAGAAATCAATGAAGCCATAGAAGGACTAAAAAGCAATAGAGCCTAGGCATTGATAACATCCCTGCAGAGTTCTATAAACATGGTTGTCAAGAGCTCATAAAACACCTCCAGGAAATGTTTCATGCTGTTTGTGTTGATGAAAAGGTTCCAAGTGATTGGAAAAAATCCATTATATGCCCAGTGTACAAAAAAGGGGACGTCTATCAATGTAATATTCTATTAAAAAACTTGTAAGGCTTGTTAGAATGACAATTGAGGGTAATGAGTGTTTCGTACCAGTACAAGGTGACTTGTCAAAGGGGTTTAGAACATCAACATGTGTAAGGCAGGGAGACGCTCTGGCATGTCTGGTATTCAACTTTACCCTTGAAAAAGTCATAACTGATTCTGGGTATCCAGACTACAGGAACCCTCCTAAATCAAATGACCCAAATACTTGGATATGCGGACGACATTGATATAATGGGAAGATCGTTTGCGGCAGTACTGGAAGCTTTTACAAGTCTGGAAGAGTCGGCAGCCAAAATCGGTCTTATTATTAACGCGTCCAAAACAAAATATATGTCCACTCTATCCTCACGTCTAACAAGGGAAACCAAGCATGGCTGGAACAGCGTGGAATCGAGAATGTTGACGAATTTGTATATCTTGGTTCATTGATAAATGCACGAAATAACATTGATTGTGAGATAGACAGGAGGATCGCAGTGGCTAATCGGTGCTATTTCTCCCTCCAGAGACATCTTCGCGGTAGAATGTTGTCAAGACAGGCCAAAATAAGAATATATAAAACTCTTATTAGACCAGTGCTCACATATGGCTGTGAGAGTTGGGCCTTAACTAAAGCAGTTGAGAAATCCCTGCTCAGATTTGAAAGGAGGATTATAGGACGCATATTTGGAGGGGTCCAGGAAACACCACAGAATTGGAGGAGGAGAACGAATTTGGAAATAGCCATTGTTTAATGACCTGGATGTGAGCCAATTCATCCTACTGGTAAGACTATGCTGGGCGGGACATGTAGCGCGGATGGATATGAATGCACCCCCACAGAGAGCTATGAATGAGCCTGTGTTTGGAAACAGATGATGGGGAAGACTATGTTTGCGCTGGCAAGACGGTGTGGCTGCTGATGCATGTAGACTACTTGGTATCAGAAATTGGAAGGCTGCAGCAACTAACCCCGAGAACTGGAGATCCATGCTGGAGCAGGCCAAGTCTCAAATAATTGAGATGTAGTGCCACTTAATAATTAATAATAGGTAGGAAAGTTGTGTGAGTGGACACACCGGATTTTTTCTTCTACTAAAATAGCTTTATCTCCCTCATTAAACCAATTACAACCTTCAAAGATTGTTATTGGCAATCATATGTTACAATGAAAAGAAGTAAGTTACAATTTACAAACAAAAGTTGGACATTCCCTTTAAAAGAAAGTTTGTAAGTAAAGTATTTTAATTTTAAAATGAAACATGCTGGCAATAATAGGAACTAAAATGGTGAGTTTTTTGCAAGGAGACTTAGGCAATATAAAATTTCTTATTATTTTTTACTTGTATGGTCTCTTTGTTGCACCCTCTTTCCCTCCCCAATTTGACATACCACTATAACTAATAATAATAAATATAAAATAAAAAGTCAAATGCACTATGAAGAAAGTTGAAATGCTATTTATTAGTAAATAGTAACACAATAATAACAAGTATTTATAATATTTATTAAAAACGAAGTATATAAAAAAATATATATGTATTTATAAAGCTCAAGTATAGTCTCATTCTGTTATAGTAGTGAGTTTAAATACCATGATAACAAACTCCTAAGACATGAAAATTTTATTAATATATTTTTTTTATAAACAATAAATTTATGAAACCCATCAATTCAATTTAAATTTGTTTTTTTTTAAGAAAAAGATTTTAATATATTTGTAAGGTATAAACTATTTTTTCTAAAATCTAGATTTTTATACTTGAGTTAATAAAAACATTTTATATTTTAATAAATTTGTTAAAAAATTATATGAAAATCTGTAACAATATTTATTACTCATTCATAAAAAGGTTAATTTTATTGAATTAAAAATATTTATTAAAAGTTTAATGAAAACTATTACTGGGAGATTTAAAGTAATGGAATATATAATTTGTTGCAACTTGCATTTTCCACCACAAATTAAGTCACATTTTACAATATCTATAAGCTTATATACAGATTCACAAAGGATTCATTAACACTTTATTCAGAAAAATTATATAAATTGATTTTTCTTTATCAATTAGGATATTATTCTATCCAAAATAAACACTTAAATATATTTAATACTTATTAATATGTATATAACAAATATAGATGTGCTTGTAATAGTATATTAATATAGTAACTAAACCATTACATCATTTTAATCGATTCAAGGAAAATAGATTTAAACACAAAATCATGATAATAACCTCAGTATATTTATGTCAAGGTAACAGAATATAATGTTGACCTTGATAGTTTAAATATGCAGGTAAATCAAAATATTAAAATATAGTCATGATTGACTATATAAATGCAATTATTCATAATATCAATTTGAATTAACATATTGAAGTATGTTATATTTTGAATATAACTGTTTAATAGGTTATATATATTCAACACCAGTGATTTAACAATGTTTAACCACTGTTGTAGTCTATCATCAACGATACCAAATCTTGACATTAGAATCGAGAAGGTATCCAAGTAATCAAAATACGACGCCTACCTGACCTTATTCAGTTAGACCAAAGTTATTTAATTAGTTATTTCTTGTATAGAACGCTTGGTCAACACTATAAGATCATAGATTATGTAAAAATGGGGAATATCTATATTATATTCCAACTCAGTAAAATATACGTTCGTAATGCATAAATTCCCACATAAGGATGTGAAAAAAAGAAACAGTCACAATAACTACATAAATGCGATTATTTGTAACATTAATACAAGTTCACTCTGATTATATTTTAAAATTATTAGAAATATAGAAAATATTCTTAAATCGTAAAGGAAATCTATAATTAAAATTAATGAATATAAACCTAATTTTTATAAGAACACCTTATCCTTTAAGTTTATCAATGTTCTTTAACATTGACCATAATAAAACATAAAAAATATTAATATTAATATAAAACAATATAACAGAAAAAATATTATTTTGAATCAAAGAAACATAAAATATATTCTTGTTTAAGAACGACAAACCATATCACACTAAACCTCCTAAGAGGTTAAATACCTACCCAACTTTATTTTATTCACCTTTATCTCTGCAACTATTCACAAAGAAATGTTACCTTTGATTTACGACTAACACCTGTTAGATTAGAATAAAAGTTTGAATTTATCCTAATTTAAAATGGACTTTGACCATTGATAGGTGCTGTAATTTTGATAACATATGATCATACAAAAATTTAAAATACTAAAGGAAAGCATTTCATAAAAAAAAGAAAACTTCTTAAAAGAACCAACAGGGTCTCCATAATTCTATATAGAGAAAAATATGGTACACATGTCTAATAATGTTGTAAAGATAGCTTCTACAAATAAGAATATAAACCTCAGGCCCAAGTTAAAAAACAATAATCAGGATCCCTCAATCAAAAGTAATAAACCAGTGTAAGTTTTTGGGTGGTACTGATAGAATGTAAATATTATGAGAATCACAATTCCTATTAAAAAATTGGTAGTGGCCTTAATTACATGGCTGTTAGATGTTGCAATTAATAATGACAAGATTTTCCATAAAAATTCGAGAATATCATTCACGAAACACCTGTTTGTTTCATTGAGGAAAAGTCTTATCTTGAGTACAAATTGCAAGTCAACGACAGCATAGCAATCACTGATATTGCCAAGTCAGCGAGTACTGGCACACATAAGGAATGTCAACTTTTGTAATTGAATGGAATCATCATTGGTGTGCAATGGAATCCAGATAAAGGATTATGCATTCAATGCAAAAAAATGTAACGTAGGTTTGCGTATCTCTTTTTCCAGTGGTTCATAGAAAAATTATGAATTCAGTATTAAGTAAATCATTATTATTATTGTTTTATAAATTCTTGATTTCAATTAAATAGGTTACATTACAGTAAATATGGTAAACAATAATGCTTTGATAAAGAAGTTTCAATACTTTAAACTTTCTTCTACCACTCATGGGAAAGCCAAAGCATGATCTCATGAATATGGTCCATTGTGAGCAAACGTTGAATTGAATTGTTTTTTAATGATTTTCTAGCATGTTACAAATAATAAAGTATCATTAAATAAAATATTTGTAGCTACTTATCCAACAATAAAAAGATAATCAACAGAAAAACTAAAAGATCAAAAAATAATTATGATCAGAAAAATGGTTCAAAAAGGACAGTCTATATATATATATATATATATATATATATATATATATATATATATATAGAAAAATAAAATATAATAAATTCACTGACTTATTCACCTTATAAAACTCTTTCTAAAAGAAAGGACCATTAAGATGTAGAAATTCCCTTATATTCAAAGAAATTTCTATTTCATTGTACTCTTTTGGTCTACTATTCTCCAGTACTAGTTAAAAGGAACTTTTCATTTTACACCTATTAACTCATAAATCTCATATGCTAACAGTTAAATGAAATATTTCCTTCTCAAAGAATAAAAGATTAATCAACAATGTTTTAAAATTAATAAATGGAGTCCTGAAATATATTCTAAAAGTGAATTTTTTTATTGCAGATGTAACATCTCAAAACCTCAATCAGCATTGGCAACTAAAGAGTATACATAATACTAAATACTGAATCAATAGAAACATATATAAAAAAACAAATAAGGAAGAAATAACTTTTAGCTATTTCATTTTTTATTTTGAATAGCTTAAATTAATAAACTCATTGGATATTAACGAAACAAACTAAATAATGCATTAAGACCATTAATGCAGGGAGTGAGTGACGATTCCTATCATAGTAATCAGAAATTTCAGATATCTCACTTTAAAGATTTTATGGTCTGCTATTACCATCATCATATATTTACCCTCCTCAATCTTAAGCAGGGAATGATTTTTAGTCTCAAATTCGGAGTAAATGAAACTCCTAGGTTCTCAACTAATTATATTTTAACACATTTTAAGAAAGTGTGTTGATCTATAAAAAAGTTGTAAGTACTATTAGACATTCTTCCCTCATTTAGAGATATCAAGAAATTAATGCTTATATATGGACAAAAATTAAGAATAAGTACACAAAAATACTTAATTTCAAATATAAAACAAAATGACAAAATAAAAGTGTCATAGCCAGAGATAGTAATAGACCTAGTAACAGGAATGAAAAAACTGATAAAATTTAAATAAAATTAATAACAGTCTTAATTCGTTTTTCGGATAAATATAGTTTTTAATTTAATGTTTTTTTTTGTATCTAAATGCACTCAGTTTTGGATAAAATAATCATGTACAAGAAATAAAAAAAATTATATACTAACTTAAGATTTACATTACATTCTTAAGCATATTAGCAACTTTTGGATGCCCTTGAGAAACAGCCAAATCATAAGCTGTATTATGATAAAAATCTTTAATGTGAACGGATGCCTTACGCATCAGAAGTAAACGAACTGTTTCAATATACCCCCACATAGCAGCACAATGAAGTGCAGTACGACCCTTGTATCCTTGGGCATCTATAGCAACACCATTATCTAACAGCCAGCCACAAGTTCCAGCATGATTTTTCCTGGCAGCAAGGTGAAGCAATGTATCACCACTGTCGCCAACCGCTATTAAGTCTGCTTCATGCTGTTTCAGTACTTCAAGTAATTCAATATAGCCTCCTCTTGCAGCATAGTGGGCTGGTGTAAAGCCAACATCATCCCTACAATTAATTGGAGCTCCATATTTGATGAGTCCCTTCGCAACTGCTAATAGACCATCCTTAGAAGCTTGATGGAGAGGACTTTTCCCTCCTTTTCCATCTCTTCTACTAATTAACCGACTTATTTGAGAATAAGATATAGGTGCAGTGCCTGGTTTAGACAAGTAACTTTGAAGAAGACTTGCTTCAGGAGATATTTCATCCTTCTGAAAAAATAAAACAAAGTGTACACGATTAGATATTGTAAAAATTTGCTTTTTTGTCATAAAGAAACAAAACTTAAATTTCAGAACATTTTACCAAGGCTTAGGTAAAAATTCTAATGAAAATTAGTGATAAAATCATAGAAAATATGAGAAAAAATGCAGGGCTGCTGTGAAACAAAGATAATTTTCACCCAGTATTAAAAATAAATACAAATTGCATTTATTTGTAAAAAATAAAATGTAAAATTAATTTTTAAAAATAAACAGTAACAACGCTCTTTAACTAATTAATTTGGAAATTTTTTTCCTTTACATTCACAACATATCGAGGTGATTTATAATAGATTTTCAGAGTTTTCAGTCTAAATGTGTTTACTCTTGTTTCTGTAAATAGTTCTTTTTTTATTCCTTCTCCTCTATGTGTTAGTATTCTGATCCCAGATTGCTCTGGTTACTGCATGGAGGATATTCCTCTCAAATCAAACAATTTTTTTTCTGGAATGCTAGTTAGTGCTCAGGTCTTGCAGCCATATATCAGAACTCACTTTATCATATCATTGTGCACCTTTAAGTTGAGATTTTTACAGATTTTTTGGGATTTCAAACTCCTAATCTCTCAAACTCAAAACTTTTTTAGCGCTTGTTATATGCTTGTCTATTTCTAACTGTTGGTGGTCAATTATTGAGGTATTTTGTGGCAAAGATATTTTACTTTTACTCTTTGGAATGATTTTGCTTCTAAATAGATCCTGTTGTTGCGGGGGAATTTTCAGCTTACTACAATTTATTTTCAGCAGTAGCAACAATTTGTTAATTTAAACATAAAAGTTAGAAGACCATAAATTGGAAATTAATAACAAACAGGAAATTTTAAAACAAGATTTAGGAAATCTAATAAAAAAAATTAGAAATTCAAGAAATTTTTGTTGAAGGACTAAACCTTGTAAGAAGGAAATTAAGACAATAACTAGAAAAAGTTGAAAAAATTACAGAGTGGCAAAATAAAAATGTCTAATTATTTGAAAAAAATTGACGAGTGCCAGATAGAAGGAAATAAAAAGAGAAATAGGATTATTGACCTACAAATAAAAAATTAATGGGAAATTGAAGAATGAAAAGAATTTTGAGAACTTTGATAGAAATTCATTTCTAATTTTGGGAGAAAAACATACAAGTCATATTTGGTATGTACATTAAATGGAGATTATTTAATTAATAGAAAAATGAGTCCTACTGAATATTTTTTTACAAGAAAGATCACTGCTAATGTATTTGATGTAAATACTATTTGTAACCTTTTTACCAGACATTTTTGTGAAAGAATATTCAATGTCTGTGTTAATAGAAAGGCTGAAACAACTTCAGAATCATTTCAAGTTTTGAATATGACTACCAGAAGTGCTATGATTAATGATCTAGAATCATCTGAGAGGTCTCTTTCATCAAAGATACAAAAATATAAACTGCAGTAGTGATAGTGACGATACATAACATTTCAACCAGAGAAGTTGTCCCCCAAAAAATCAACAATGTGGAAATAATCACTATGGTTATGATTCAGGGCGAAATTTTAAAAATAACTACAGATATCGAAATTTTATCCTGAATCGTCAATAGTGAATTGATTGAATACGAAAATATAAATGACAAAATAAATAAAATATGTGAAGAATTAAGCCATATTCTGAACGATGAACAAGTGATGGAATTTAAAAATATTTTGTGGAATAGTAAGATTATTTTTAGAGATAAATCAGGTCTTACAAAAAATTATGAACATGTTTTAGAAGTAACAGATAACACACCCTACAAAGAATTTCAATACAAATTAAACCCCAAATTAATTGAATTGGCTAAAATAGAAGTAGAAAAAAATATTACTGATGAAATAATCGAGGTATCCCATTTGCCTTACATAATCCTACCATTTTAGTCGAGAAGGAGAATATGGATTCAGTCTCAGGTGAACTAATGGATTCAAAGGTCCTTATTTGCATATATGGGCGATTTATAAATAAACATCTTATTCTTCTTTATGATTCACTACCATCCATTGATAATATTCTGTTTCAGTGTGTGGATGTAAAGTATCTGGCCACCTTAGACCTGAAATGTAGTTTTTGGCAAGTTGGTTTGGAAAAGACAAGCCAACAATACACAGGTTTCCAATTTTTGAATGAAACTTTTCATTATAAGCATATTCCTTTTGGATTATCAGTTAGTTTAGAGGCACTGGTTAAAGCTTTAAAAAAGGTTATACCAAATTATTTATTTAATAACATAAAAATTTATGTGGATGATATATTAATCCATGGAAAAACAATTGATGAATTTTCGAACATTTTAAGAGATCTCTTCCGTGTTTTTCAAGAAAATGGTTTGACAGTTAAATCTAAATAAATGTAAATTTTTCAGAAAATCAGTAAAATTTATAGGCTATATTATAACGGACAAAGGCATAGTGAAGGATCCAAGAAAAATCGAAGACATTAAATATTTTAAAGTTCTCAGAAATATTGAAGAATTACAAAGTTTTTTAGGTTTGATAAATTTTTATAATAAATTCTCTCCTGGTTATGCAGACACCATAAAATCATTTTATATAAACTTACTGCAATTAAGACTATTTTTAAATGGAAAGAAGAACACCAACAAGCATTTGAACACATTAAAGAAAGTATGTTAAATGATATTACCTTACACTATCTAAAGTTTAACAAAATGTTTTATGCTGACAGTTCAGGCTTAGCTTCTTGGGAGTATTATACTAGTTAGATAATCAAGTTTGCAGAAAAATTATTCCTTTTTACAGCCAGACCTTTAAAGGAGCTGAATTGAACTATTACTCAACCGGAAAGGAATTATTGGGTGTTACTTCATTCCATTCAAAAATTTTATAACAATTGCAGGATATAAAATTACTGTCAGAACTGATAATAAAGCAATACATCTTTTTGCACTCATGTTAGAACCCACCACCACCTCAAAGGTCGTTTGATCAGTTGGATTAACTATCTTGGACCCCTTAACATAAATTACGAACATATAGCTGAGACTCAAAATAAAATAGCAGATTTCTTCAGTAGACATCCTATAGTTGAACCGGAGCACAAAGGAACTAATTTTCAAGTAAATTTGCTTGAGGAAACCAAATTTTTTGAAGAACTAATCGAATACCAAAGAAATGACCCAGAACTAATAACAATGATGGACAAAAAGAACAGAATTTAAGATGGCTTCATTTCCAGATTTTTAGGAAATAAATTTTTGATTTATTTAAATAAAAAATATTTGACAGACTTGATTAAATTAGTACATGAAAAGTTGTCACACTCTGGAATGAATAAATGTTTTTCCATAATTAGGGAATGGCTCAACAGTCACGAATTAAGAAAATTAATTGCTAACACATTAAAGTGCTGTAAAGTTTGCTAGTTTAACAAAATTGGATCGTATTCGATTGCGCATTACCAAAATATTCTAGTGGGAGGAAAGTTAGAATTAGTGTCTGAAGATTATTTAGGACCATTTGTAACTTCTTGGGGTAATAAATATATCTTTGTGGTTATTGATAATTTTACAAAATTTGTAAAATTATATTCTCCAAGGAAAGTCAATTCATTTGGTGCCCAAAAATCTATCGTTTACGATATTGAAGAATTTTGCACTCCATTAAAGTGTTTAAGTGATAACGCCACTTGTTTTTCAACTACAAGCTGGAAGAATTTCCTAATGGACTTAAATATTACTAGAGTCTTAACTTCTATCAGACAACAGTTAGCAGCATCTCAGAAAGAACAAATAGAGATTTATTACAATGTCTACATCTACTGCTTGATGGCAAACATAACAAATCTGTCAGTAAACTATCTCAGATAGAGACCACTATAAATTCAACATACCACACAACTACAGGTATAAAACCTATCCAGGGTATGTTTGGAATTAAAACCTTACATTTTAGGAACACTTATATAGGGGAGAACCTCGAGGGGGTTTGAATTTAGATCATGAACAAATAAAAAATATATTTAATAATAAAATTCAGAAGTTTGGTGATAAGAATAAATAAAAATATAATAAAGATAAAAAATTCACGTGTATCAAGATTGGAGATAAGGTGCTGGTGAAGGCCTTAAGAATATCTGCATCAGGTGTGGTAAATGCCAAACTCCTACCACTTTTTGAAGGATCCTATGAAATAATAAATACGTTTGGCAAACATTCGTTTTTGATATCTAATCCAAATAATGGTAATTCAAGGGATCTGTTTCACACCAGCCTTTTAAAACTCTTTCATGAAGTTTAATTTATTATAGATATTTCTAACTCTATTTTTAAATGCAAATGTGTTCTCTCTGTGTATTCATATAATAAAAGCTATTAATATTTTAGAAAGTCTTGTCAATAATTTAAGCAGTTATTTTGTAAGTTAATTGTATATAAGATATGGAAATTATACTGTAATTTTTTTTTTTTTGTGAATAATGTATTTAGTTTTTTTTATTACTTATATAACAATCTGCTTTACTTATTTTTCTTGTACATAAATTATATGAGCAAATTATGTAATTATATATTGTGTAAATTAGTTTAAAATTAAGGTATGGTCTTCAATTTAATTTTGGTATTCATATGTTACTGTAATTTATTGGTATGTCATGTTAATAATTCTTTAAGAAAATAATCTGTAAGAAAAGGATAAAGAAGTTAAAAAAAAAGAAAATAGTTAGGACGTAACTCGTAGGCAATCTTTAAAATGTTTTGTTTGTATTGAATGTGCAATGTGCAGATGTTTCAGTATTCACCTAAATTTAATTTAAAAAGAAAAAAAAAATATTTTACTTAAAATACTTTTTTTTTCACCTGGAAGTGGAGAGAAATATAATAGACACCTTAATTGAAAATTATTAAAAATGATTTTATAAATTAATATAACAGTTAAAAAGCAAGCTAATCTAGTTTCACTAGTTCAGAGAAAAGAAAATAGCTGCTCTGTAGTTTTCCTATAGAGGAAAATCTTAAAGAGGGGAGGGGACAAAGGATTTTTTTTTGGCATGCAGTTGTTTGGCTGCAGTGAAGTGAGGATGGAGAAGGGATCCTGGCTCCAGTGGGTAAAACCCAGGAATAGTGAAATTACAACAGAGAGGAACTCCCAGGGAGCTTGAGTTGAGAAGAAGAAAGTGTAACCACTTTGGAAGATATATTTGGCAGAACATAGGAAAATGTTAGAAGACAAATGAATTTAGTGCAACAAAGAAAGAAACAGTATCAATAGAAAAAAGATTAGCTTGCCAATCCTTACTTGACTTTCTTTTAAAATCAGTGTTTAATTTTAGTATAAACAGTGTAAATAATAATAGTTTGTCTGAGTGTTTTGATCTGATTACCAGTAACCCACACCTGAGATAAAATAATTATAAATTTCAATTTAATATATTAATACTCTTATAATTTTGTTTATTAATTAACAACCTCTTATTTCTTTTGGAAGTATCCCAACAATCGAAGTGATCTTCCACAAGGTTTATTACTAGTTTAAAATATAAGAGAAATGTTACAAATTATTGTGTAAAATAAAAATAATTTGGTTCAGAAACTGTTTACTTTTCAATGGAAAACGTAACCTTATAATATATATGTATGTAATAAGTAGTTTATCAATGAATTAGTTCATATAAAAAAAAATATTATAAAAAGTATGTTTTAAGAAAAGATACTTGAAGAAAAGATACCCAGAAGAAAAGATACTTGAAGGTGCTATGATATTATCAGTCAGGGTACATCTCAGATAATTGTCCATCCATTAAATGTTTTGAATATGGGGACAAAGGTCACGTCGCTAGGTCATGCCCTTTTGGATTTACAGGAGGAATCAAGGTACAGAGCCCATGAAGGTAAACGCCCACATAATGAGACATTCTAGGGATACTTCAACTTCGAGCTCGGAAGAATATTCCATAAAAAGCTTTAGTGATAAAAAACATGACCAGAAACACAATTGGTCAAAATTGGATAAAAAATCTTGTTAGAGAATTGTGGGTAGTAGAGAAAAAGAGATAAAATCAGCAAGGGAATCCCTCAAAACATTTAGTAATCGATTACAGAAAACTGAATGACAACACTGTGGAGGAACAGTACTTCCTTCCCAGACTTGGAAGATATGTAAGATCGTTTAGCAGGAGCCCATGTTTTTTCCACCCTTGACCTGAAATCTGGTTACCACCAGGTTAGAATGCGACAGGAGGATATTGCTACCCCCACTCCCTCGCCTCCCTCAGTCGTTGATCAGAATGCATCGGTCTGTCCGTTAAGGAAAGTTCTAGTAGTGACATGTGCACAATGGTTGGGGAAGAATAGACCAGATGTTTACTTTACTATGCCAATCCCTTCCAAGACTGTCAGGGATATTGTCATAATAATTCTGCTTTAAGAGCTGGTGATAATTTATTGCTGTGGACTGTAAAATTAGAGGAGTTAATGGATTAAAGAAGTGAATATCTAAAATTGATAGCTTTATTTTATTACATGTAATTTTATACGGAGGTTAAATATAGGTGGGTTGGGATACTTGCATTTTCTCTTTTCTTCTAGTTGCCAGTCTTCTTGTTCATCTTCTCTCTCTTCCTTTCTTGGCCCCTTGCCGGCCGCTGTAGTTTTTTACTCCATGTTTAGTAAACCAGTGTAATAACGAATTTTCTAACTGGCCAGTCTCATGAATCTCTCACCCTACGTGAGCGTCTACGCTTTAATAATGGCGGCGTCACACTAACAACTGAAGTATATATGCAGTATGCTCCAGATAACAGCTGTGCTGTGTTTACTTGATCTAATTTAAATATGAATTTTGATGTGTTCCCTAAACACCAGATGAAGATCATCTTCAAATGAATTCCACATTAGCAGTGGAAAAATAGAGAGCAGTATAAATTCGGAGCTACCAGAGGGACAGTATTGATAATTAATATTTTAAACTAGTAGAAAGAATTAATTTAAATTTAATTTATAAATATGTGCATTTATTAAATAGAATAATTGATGTATCAATGTCATTTATTTGATCCTTAGCTATTCTCAGTCCATAAACCAGTTAAGCCCTCAGTGTCCATAAAATTTACAATAACTATTTACAGAAATTTTAATTCAATATTTTTTGGTTAATTTATATATAGTAAAATCACAAACAGGGACAGAAATATTATCATTATGTATTTGTGAAATTTATAATATTACAATATATATAATATTAAAGTGTCTGTGCATTGGTATAATTTTCAAGTAATGTTGTACTTACTTTACAAAATAGGTCAGAAATGTTCGGTGAACTGACTGCATGTGTCAGAGGTTTGCCCACAGAGTGGATGCCACCAGATTCATTGTTATTCTTACAAATATAAAATTATAACGTGTTATTAAAATGTGATAAATATGTATATAAATATTGTTTAAATATAGAAAATTAGATATTATTTTTTTTTTGTTTTTGTTGTCTGGGTGGCGGCAATAAAGAAAAAAAATATTGTATAAAATTAAGTTATTACCTCTTTGAAATGGCGGCCTCTTGTTCTTGATTTGTTTCTTGTTCTAGCCTAAAATCATATAAAAAGTTAGAAAAACTGCGAAAAATATAGAGTTTTATTTTAGTTTCAGTACTTAATAAATGTCATAAAATAATACTTAAATAGTGTTTGAGAATACATTATTAACAACTATTTTGGAATAAACCTACCTGTAATTATTAGTCACAGAATAAACAAATTGAAGGATTCCAAATAATCAGAATTAAGATTTAAGTAATTTACAATTAACTTTTAACTAACACATCATACAAATCCATTTTGTACAGCTGGGAAATGATGATCTGAATTATATCTTTTACTTCAAGATATTTAACTAGGACAACAGCCAGAAAGTGGTACTTTTCAGCATTTTGTGATCTGTGGCCTGTGCAAGCACTTACAGTATAAATCAGTACTTAAGGTGTGCATGCTTTCAGGAAATAATAAATTAATGGTGCTAAAATGAAATACCTCTACTATAATTTCATGACTTTATGTACTAAAGATGGAAGCTAACCCAATTCAGCCCTAATGCCAACATTTAATTAGGGCACAACTAACTAAATATGAACAAATATATTAGATATTAGAGAGCTTATAGAATACAAATTTAGTATGATTCATTACTGGCTCTAAACAAATGATTTTTTTCTGTTATTTTTACCTCTTCAAAAATAAACTTGTATAAAAAGACTTTGAGAAAATATGAATAAGTTGGTGCTAGTAAAATGAATGTGGGAGTGATATTTATAAATAGTAATTAGTAAAATTTCCTATTTTTCCATATTCATTCCAATGGGTCAAAGCATGATGTTAGTCTTTCTTGATAAATAGTCAAATGTAAAAAAAAAATTTTCAAAATGGACTGTTAGTTTCTGAAATTATTGTACTCAAGCAAACATAGTTGGTATATTAATATATTGTAATGTAGGTATGGTCACCATCGGCACTACTAGTACTGAGATTCATGAAAAATATTTATTTCTTTGGAAGTACATAGCTGAGATAAAAATTATGTTATATAATAAGGTGTTACACATCGTTTTTCTGGCGCTTAGGTATGATGGATTTTGATGTATGAGGTACCTAGCGAAAGAGAAATTTCATGGAGAAGTGACCAATACCTGATTTGAATCATTGAAAATACTGGGAGGCTTCAAAACTCTAATGGTTGGTTGATGGATCAAGATGTAATAAATCGCGTTTTAAAGATTTCAATGTATCTCGATCCAGTTAAGTTCCTTTGGAATGCACCAGCCCTCCATTTTAAAGTCCAAAAATGTGTCATTTTTTAGGTAAATCATAATTCTTTAAGTGAAAAGATTTCCATGTGATACTTATCAAATTTACTTTAGGATTTTAAAAATAAAAATATTACTTTCTGTAATGGTCTAGGACAAACTAAAAATATATTAAAAAAGGTTCGAGAAGAATGGTTTTGAGGTCATAAGGGCACCATGGATAATCTACACTTTCTTCATACATCATTTCTTAAAGATGTTTTTTTTTATGTTAAATATTAAATAGTTCTATAAAATAAGATGAATAAAAAGTAAAGGAAAAAGTTATGAAGAAAAATTATCTGCACATCACTGCATAAGTATGCTTGATCACACTTACGATTTTTTCAAAGGTTTCCAAAGTCTCTATTAAATGAAGAAAAAAAATTTATCTAAATCAGACCATTTTTACAGCCAATAATAATTTGAAAACATGTTTTGGTTTATTGTATAGAATGAATCATTGTTATGTACCAAGGAAATAAAACTAATTTCTCTTTTCGTAAAATATTGCATTTACTCATTTTCATATTTTATTGTCATTTGTTTAATGACCTATATAATATACAAATTATTCGCAAGACCCTACCAGTTTTAATATAATTTTATTTATTTATTAATACAATATCTTACTCAATACTTTAGGTGACATTTTAAAGCTACATTCTCAGAAATATATGTTCTTTAGGTAGAGCACGGTTTTTTATTTCATATCTGTATATGAAATTAAAAAAAAAAAATCTGTTGCGCGCAACACACAATTTTCACTTACCAATCTACTTTGAATAGAAATTATTTTCTGGCAATGCTGGGCTATTGTAAAATTTTTTGAAGTGCATTTTAAACTGAGCTAAAGCTTAAAGTTTACAGATAACAATTCATTAAGACCATTATAATTACAAAATGTCTATTTAATATATCGACGACAAGCAATAAAAACCTAGTCACTCCATCTGCTTTTATAAACCACACAACTTTCTTTGCTTTTATAAACCACAGAATGACTAGCTCCAATTTCAACATTTTTGAGTGATATATTTAGTTGAAAAAGTTATCTATGCAGACAATGAGTAAGTTGATTCCGGAGGTGGTGATTGCAGTGTTGAAATATAGAACTGAGTATAAAGGTATAAATTTAGGAACTTGTTTCTTATGAAAGATGTTCTTAGGAGAGAAACTTTATTAAATATCTGTAGAAAAAAGATTTTTTTAGTCTCAACAATTAAAATAGTATATTTTAAATTTATCCAAATATTCGCCTCTTCTGGGAAAAAAACTAGAGACCATATCTTTCCTCCTAATTGTCCGATTTTAACGTTGTTTTTTTTTTTGTTTTGTTTTTTTTTTAGGAAATTCCATAAACTTTTAAAAAACCATATACAATATCAACAAAAAAGTGTATATTTTTACAGTTATTCGGAATTTAATTTTACCATCCCTCATAACTTTTTTTCCAGCTTCTTTTCGTTGAAGTATGTTACATAAATAAATTTAAAGGGTGTTGAGAAAATGACTTTAGCAAAGTTTCATTGAAATCCATACATTCGTTTAAGCGCTACAGTCTATAGCAATGCAGCTTTTCCAGCTTCTTTTATTTATTTTTTCTCCTTTATTAACTTACCAAATTCTTTCAAAAGTTATATGTAGCATTTTTTTTATAACTCTAAATAATGCGAAATGATTAACTTTTTAAAATAAACCATATTAAAGGTATTTTAGAGAAAGAAATATATGAACATTGGGTATTTAAGCCCTCTAAAGTGACATCAACGGGGATAAGACTTAAATGATATTAAAGACCACTTAATTATACAATGATACACAGAGTTTCATCAAAATTGTTAGAGCAGTTTTTGAGAAAATAGTAAAAATGTGTTTCAGCGTTCATATAAAGTGGCACTTCCGGTTAGCTGGATTTTAACAAAAAAGTTGCTGTCAAATCCGGCCCTTATAAAAACCTTAAATACTTAATATCAGTTTCATACTACTTTTCATTTATGAGCTAGACTGTTAACACACAGACACTTGGTTATTTGGACTCAGGGGACCTCAAAAAATGTATTTCCGTTGAAAACTAAGATTAAAAAATTTTCACGATCGCAATACTTACCCTTACTATATATTAGATATATACATAAGTGAAAGTAAAACTGTGTGCATGTTACTGTACTTGTATATGTTAAATATTAAAATAAATAAAAAATATATCTACATGATATAATTGTATCATAGCCTTAAAAGGGTGCACAGGAATGTAAAAAAAACAAACAATAATCAATAAATAAACGTCATCATAAAATGCGAAATAACAGAAAGAAAGCGAGCATGTCAAACGCACAATACTAAATGGGAAATGAATAACAATAATGTTGATAAAACAGTGTAGTTTGATGTTCTAGTATACCTACCAATCTCAAAACTGGCACAAGGGGCAACAAGACATGTGCAGGTCTATTTTTATTAATCCTGGTATAGTATCATACGACATACTTATTGTAAAATGTTGAGATAATAGTCATTGGATGATTGGAAACAATTATTTAACGGTTGCTACTTCTTATTTATTGTCACCCACCAGCATAATAACATAAAGCATCATATGGCAGAGTTTCTGGAAATGAAGAACTATAAATGCTTCCTCGAAATTTATTGCCTGGATACAGAATGCTCAACAAGGCTCATTGACATTTTGGCATTCAATGTGACAGAAAAGAAGGCACTCGATAGTGGATCCAACGATCAGGATCAGGACTTCAAATTACAGGCAGAGAAAGAGGAAATTTATACGAAATACATATCTTATCTGAAGGAAAAATACAGAGATGAATTTGGTGAGAGAGAATTCTCAGTTAAAATGCTATGGTTCGGAAGCAGGGAAAGAATCTTTCTTAATGTCAGAAACTATTATTTTAGACTAGTTAGGAATCTTCCATTACCACATATTGTAAAATATATCTTTATTGGAAGTGGGTAAAAAGGGTATAATAAATTAATGTTAAACAGTTAAAAGGCAAGCTAATCTAGTTTCACTAGTTCAGGGAAAAGAAAATGGCTGCTCTGTAGTTTCCCCCAAAATAGAAAATCCAAAAGAGGAGAGGGACAAAGGTTTTCTTTTGGACAGCAGTTGTTGTTGGGTGCAGTGAAAAGAGGATAGAAGAAGGGATCCTGGCTCCAGTGGGTAAAACCTCGGAATAGTATTAACATCTTGGAAGTTGTTTGGCAAAGAGACTGGTTGTTTGGAATTTCAAGAGAGAGGATCTCCCAGCGAGCTTGAGTTGAGTAGAAGAAAGTATAACCATTTTGGAAGATATATTTGGCAGAACATAGGAAAATGTTAGAAGACCAATGAATTTAGTTCAACAAAGGAACAAACAGTATAAATAGAAAAAGGCTAGCTTGCCAATTAATACTTCACTTCATTTTGAAATCAGTTAATTTTAGTATAAATAATAATAGTTTGTATGAGTGTTTTTTTGATCTGATTGTCGGTAACCCATACCTTGAGATAAAATAATTATAAATTTCAATTTAATACATTAATACTCTAATAATTTGTTTTTTATTTAATTACCTCTTATTTATTTTGGAAGTATCGCGATAGTATAAAGTGATCTTTCGAGGTTATATTATTATTTGTAAAATATAAGAGAAATACTACAATATATATTGATCTAGGCCTTTGCTTATTTGATTCTGTAAACCGTTCTTGGCATATCTGATATTTATTCCAATGGTCCGAACTAACTGTTTCTTATATATTTTTTTACAGGATTATCTATTGATTGATAAGTATGCTGTGTTATTTAGCAACTCAACGCAGTATGTATATTGTAATAAAGAAATTCCTGAGGGGTAGGAAAAAAATAAAATAAATAAATAAATTTGGAAGAATTATCTATCTTTTGGTATGTTGATATAGACTAATATATTATCAGTTCACCTCCTCCATGTGAATGGCAACAGTAATTCTTTAATAAATAATGTATTAGAAATGAATTTTATCAATAAACTAAACTTTTAAATTACTTACCAATTACCTAATAGATATTCAGTATCTGTACTTTAAAATATTAGCTAGTATCAAAAACTAAATAAACCTGGCCTTGATCAATTGCAATTAAAAAATGGTTTAAAAAAAACACCACATTATCTTTTTTTTTTACTAGAGCACACCTAACAAAAAAATAATTAAAAAATTGATTATAAATAAAAGTCTTACAGGATTCCTTGAATTCACATTTCCCTGTTTAGAGTCAGTGTAGGTGCTGCGTTCAGAAGACAGAGATTGATTCGAAATTGAAGAACTACGACTCCGTTGGAATAAATCAGATCCCTCATCAGAGTCATTGTTTGGTTCTTTTATTAACTATAAGGAAAAAAATAATAATATTTGTTACTGATAAAGAAAAGTTATCTATTTTTATCAAGATCATATACGTTATACAGATTAATATCAAATATTACAAAACTAAAAAAAAAAAAAATATCTGGATTGAATCAAGTTAATAATATCTATTAAATAATACTAGATGTATGTTCTTGAGTTTACCGTTAAGAAATTAAATAATCATATACTTGTCAAAAATCCAGAATAAAAGAGTAACCACTAAAAAACGGTAATGTCAGAAAGTTTTAGGTTGGATCGCTGTTATCACAAAAAGCAGACAACCTTTAAATCTTGGACCAATAAATAGAGATAGAGACAAACCAATAATTATAGCGATTATTCTAACGATATTAGAGGAAGTACCCTGGGGCTTCTATGCCCAAAACTCGTTCTAAAAAAAACATTTTCAAGTTGTTAACCTTTATTTCTGGATGACCAATGTATTGATATGTATATTGAAAGTGATAGATTTTCTTAAGCTTCATTCACAAAATACTTTTAAACTTATTAATTTGTTTTTAATTACAGACTGCAGGTATTTGTGCTGAAAATGTAAAAATTTTACTCACCTGATAGTCCAAGAGCTGATGAGAAAAAATCAATATTATTTGATGAAAATTTTAAAGGAATTTTTAAAAATATTTATAACATTTGTATTAAAAAAATGAAACTCTACAAGTAGGATCTTGCTACCTGTAAAAATGGCTGCTGACTTAAAGAATATCAGACCAGTAACTTTAAAGTTGAAACAGGAAATTCATTGCAAAAAATGTTGCTAAAGTTATAATTTTTCAACTTGTTTATATGGGTTCAAACATGTAAAAAAACAAATTGCTAACATGGGCCACTAAAGGAAAACTTTTTACAGCCAAAAATGTCAAATTTTTTCTATATTTTTCATTTTTCACCTATAACTTCTAAACGGTGCATCAGAGCGAAAAAAGTATTCTATAAGGAATTAAAGAACGTTGAATGAGTACCTAATCTTAATCATTCAGTTATGTGGTATTGTAGGTAACCACATAACTGACGCTGATTTATATCAACTATGTCAAAAACAGATACAAATTACTATAAATGGTGCTGCAGCTTGGAAATAAATTTTTTAAGAGAAACAACCCATAGGATTAAAGTTGTTGAGCAAGAAATTCCGTGTCCACCACGTACTAACGGTTTTAGTGTAGATAAGTTATATCTCTTGTCTCGGGATTCGATATTTAAGAACAATTTAATGTCCTTTAATTTCTTTGAGAATACCTTTTTTGCTTTGATACACCGTTTAGGAGTTATAAGTGAAAAAATTAAAAAAAAAAAATTAAAAAGAAATATGGCTTTTATAGTAGATAGATCCCTGTATTTACTCCTTTATGTGATATTGAGCGAGGGAATGAGAAGGAATATATAGGAATGTGAGGTTGCATGATGAATTGTACTCAATTATGCAGTGGACAAATTATTCATTGAAAGTCTCATATCGATGAACAATCGATGAAGGAGGACGCTGGAAAAAGGACGGAGCAGGTAGCAACAGCTGGAAAAGGATGCCGGAGGAGAGAAGAGAAGGCACTTGAGGCTGGGGAATTCAAGGCGGAACGATGTTATTTGAGCAGAGAAGCCTACATTGAACACTAAGAATATCAAGCTTACAGTTATAAGACTTTTATACATCAATTTATTACAATTGTAGAAATAAATTATTTTGTTATACAGAAGTGAAGTCATTTATTTATCTAGTTGTCCTATATGCCTCACCATTGAAGAATAACAAACCAAGTGAGTCAATTCAATTAAAGTGTGTTTAGTAAGTCACACATTTCATATATATATATATATATATATATATATATATATATATATATATATATATATATATATATATATATTCTTATTGTTTCTTCTCACTCAGTGTCACAAAAGTATTAGGTTCCTGAATTCCCAACAACACTTTAACACTCTCAATAAGTCTATATCCAGTGCCGGGATTTTGTTTTAATATTCATTAGTGTAAATAACTTAGTTTCCCGAAAAGCGGAAGAATATTCACTATTACTGCCAAAACAAATTATTTACATTTAATTCTTAACAGGTTATTTACACTTTTTTTGCTGTTAAAAGTTTTCCCTTGATGGCCCGCGTTAGCAATTTTGTTTTTTTACATGTCTGAACCCATTATACAACTTAAAAGAATAAAAACTCTTCCAACATTTTTCGTAATTATTTTTCCGTTTCGATCCTGAAGTTACCTAATATTCATTAAAACAGCCACCACTTTTAGAGTTGGCAAGAGAGTTATAAATATTAAAAAAATTCCTTTTAATTAAGTTTTCATCAAATGACGATTATCTTCCACTTCTTTTTTATCAATGACTTATTTAGGATCACTTCAAAAAAATAAGAAATAAAGAAAATTGAATTCTTGAATGGTTTCAGGGATGGTATTCACAAATTACTTGAAGAAAAATGTATAGCTAATATAGTAATAGAGTAATTTTTAGAATTTATCTTTAATTTTTTTTTTAATAATTATTTTAAATTCTTCAACAATGCCCAATGGGACAGGTGTCCTAGTGTTCCGGGTTCTGAATATTGTAGGTTTCATTCTCACCTCTGTCAGTTAATATTTATTTCTCGGTGGTCCCAAGAAATGAATCTTGACATACCCCCGATAGTTAGTATGTGGGGAAAGATAGCTACCAGAGATTGAACCATTGGAGGAAATGGAAAAAAGGACCACTTGTCTTCCAAGGCCTACTTGCTTGACTAGTTCCCCTAACCAATACTGGCACCAGTATCTCTATAGCAACTGCTGCGGAGTAACCACTTTAGTTCAATACTGCATCACACAGAAATAAGAACAAATGGAAGATTGAACAATAAATCAAGATTCAAGATGAAACAAAATCGAGAAGCAACAGCTTTTAGAGAACTAGGAGAAAAATAACAGATGTATGACATGAACACACACATTTGAATATTATTCATCTGGCTATAACAGTTTGCAAGTTTTCTTTCTTATCTTTCGATTTATTTCTCTTCAAGATGCCACAAGAAGATCTTAACAATCTCTTTAGATCAGAAGAGAATTCTTAAGTGCTAGCTTATTACACAAACCATAAAACCCTGCCGTTTTGAAGAGCGAAACAAGTTATGGTTTTGTCAAATAGAAACTGTTTAAATGCAATCACAAATTACTAATAGTACAACCAAGTTTCAAATAGAAGTTCCTTTGCTCGATACGGATGTACTACGTTGGGCAGCTGATTTAGTCAAACATCTTCCAGCCAAACCGTATAAAGATCTTAGAGAAGGTCTAATCATGACATATGCAGACTCAGAGAATATGCGTATCCAATTTTATTAGAAGCTAAACAGCTTGATGATGAAAAGCCATCACAGTTGTTAATACATATGCAGAAGTTGGCAGGAAATACTGTCGCAACTGAAATGGTAAAGGCAATATGGTTTCACTCACTTCCAAAGAATACTTAGTCCATCTTGACGACTAAAGGTTACACAGATGAAGAGATGTTAGATGATGTGACAGATAAAATACATGAGGTGCATCGTCCGGTAGAGGTATGTTTCATTGCTCCTTTAGTAGCTTCTGCAGCTCCATCACAAATAGCTACTAAAATGTTTGGAGACAAAGATAAAAGATCATACAACACAAATCGCAGCTCTATCGTCTAATAGTCAACAAGATATTGTAAATAACCTTCCCTTTGTACAGGGGTCTTGGTTATTTACACCCATGAATTTTAATTTTAAAACAAAACCTCGGCTCTGGATAAACTTTTGAGGGAGTTTACTGTCATTGGGAATTTGGGAAACTAAGCTCTATCCTCTAATAGTCAACAAGATATTGTAAATAACCTTCCCTTTGTACAGGGGTCTTGGTTATTTACACCCATGAATTTTAATTTTAAAACAAAACCTCGGCTCTGGATAAACTTTAGAGGAAGTTTACTGTCATTGGGAATTTGGGAAACTAAGCTCTATCCTCTAATAGTCAACAAGATATTATAAATAATCTTCCCTTTGTACAGGGGTCTTGGTTATTTACACCCATGAGTTTTAATTTTAAAACAAAACCTTGGCTCTGGATAAACTTTTGAGGGAGTTAACTGTCATTGGGAATTTGGGAAACTAATTCTTTTAAGACATTAAGTGACAAGAAATAATAAGTATATATATGAAATGTTGGAAAGAGCAAATACACATTAAATGAATTGACTCGCCTAATTGCCAATCTTGAATTGTTAGATGTTGAGGCATATAGGACAACTAAACAAAAGGGAACATACACTTCTGAATAACAAAGCTAATTTATTTTTACAAACTGTAAATGAGAAATCACTTAAAAGTCCTATAATAATTAGAAAGCTTGACCTTCTTTTTCTTAATCCTTCAGTAGGGTGGACTTCTTTCATGCCATTATTATCTTCAGTCTTCAAATTATAGCCCCAAGTGACAAAGTGGTGTGTACCGGTACCATTCTTACCCAGCCCCGCCTTTTCGTTAAGATTAAGTGGACATCGTTGTCACTCTTGATTGATACATGTAGTAAGTAGATGGCTTCTGTCTAGTCCATTAAGTGTAATTGAGTAAGGAAATGAGAAGGAATTTATGATTACACTATGAATTGGACTCAATTGTGGAGTGAACAAGTTTTTTACTAAAAAATACCAAATGTATAAACTATTGACGAAAAATATCCAGCAGAACAAAGAAAGGAAGAAGTCTACAAAAATTACAGAGTCCTAAAGACACCAGAATCAAGAAGTTACGTGTGTTTACTATGTTTATTATAGGTGTTGTCTAAAATTATTACAATGAAATAAAAAAATTGTAATTAAGTCATTATTTAAACTTATTAGTATAAAATGGTTTATTCACAACATATAGATAGTAACAGTAGCCATAAAATCAAGCACTTTTTTCAAACAAAAATATGTTTCACAGGTTCTATAATAGATTAATTAAGAGAGTAATTAAATTATTTGATTTATCATTGATTACCTAATTTTAATCAAAGATCAATTAAATCTGTGATTAATAGAAATAGTTAACAGAAATGAATAAATAAAAAGGAATACCAACTTTATAGAATTTATGTTAGATATTTTTAATTTATATTTTATTTATTGACAAGTTGGGACAACAGATAATTCCTGGGATCTACATAGTATATCTGAGCTGTTAAATAACATTGCAGAGAAAATTACTTTTTTTTTTATGTTTAGGTAACATTTTTAAATTGTATAAGTGTAAAAAATGAATTATTTTTTTTGTTTACATTTGATAGGATCATAGATTGAAAAAATATTTTCTGATGTAATACTACTTTCTATGACTGATGGCTTAGGATTCATCTAAGACTAAATGAAACAATGTGTAATAATCGTTCCATTTTAAAACATGCTCCTTGGGACTATGAGTAAATTTTATTAACACATATTTACAAAAAAATTTATTTAGCATTTTGGAAAGACAAAAGTAGTATTGCGGCTCCTATGAACTAAATTCCTTGACATTTTGTGACATGATTTAATACAAAGTTTAAATAGATAATAATAAAAATATCTTACATGATTTGGTTCTCGACCATGGTGATGACCTCCAGATGCGAGAGTATGAAGACTGTTGCTGCCATCTATCGGATATCGAACGATGTTTTCCGGTCTGAATGATAAAGTCCCACTGTCTGATGACCATTGGATGGGCTACACAAATAATCAATATGTTAATATATTAAACACAAAATACATTAGAAAAATTTAACTTTGTCTTTGTTCGGAGTTAAGAACAAAACTAATTTAAGCTGAAATATAACAATATGAGTGAAGTTTACACAACTTTGATATTAAGGAGGAAGTCTTTCAATAGAAATTAACACAATCACAAATAAGACTTTTTTTTTACAAACTCATAGTAAATATTAATTTAAAGTTACTGAAAACTATACAGAATCAAAGTAACAGCAAAGCCAGTAAGTGCCATGCCAGTAACAATTAGAGTTTACATTTGATCTGAAAGCAGAAGTATTTTTTTTTTTTTTTAAGTAGTGGTTAGAATTTGATAAAATTGATACTTACTTGATTATCTGTTTAACAATCCCTAACTTCCATCCAAATTTAAGCCAAATCGAACGTGCAGTTTTAGAGATATGGACATATCAAGGAAAACACGTTTGAGCATATGTAAGAGAAAGTAGGGGGCAGAATTCAATAAAATTGGTACAATCCTTTTTTTTTTTACGAATACCCACATTTTGTCCAACATTGAACCAAATTGAACAAGTAGTTTCTAAAATATTGGTATATCTAAATAAATACATCTACCCATGCACCATGCGTAAGCAGAAGCACAGGAAGGAATTTGATAAAATTGATATGGGACCATCTAGGCAACAACCTGCACAATCTCTGAAAATTTCATGAAAATCGGATGAACAATAGTAGGTGATATACCCATTAAAACGTTTTGATTACAGGATGTCTGAAACGTAAAACGTGAGTCGAACTGATAGATTCTGAGCATAAAGATTTTTTTTTTTGTCGCACGAATATAAAGCTTCTCTACCTTAGGTAGTGATGAAACAAAACAACATTTTTGTAATTAATCCATTCTTTTGTATATTATATTCATAGATATAATGAGGGAAGAATACTAATAGATTAAAATAAATAATTATTGCTAGTTATAAACCTGATTGATGTAACTGCGACAAGGGTAACACCATACACTGTGGCTAGAACAGCTTAGAGCAAGAGGATGTTTGGTTGATTCATTGTGCATCATCATGTGTTTATTCACATACCTGCTACATCCCACCTGAAAAAGTAATAAATTTAAGTAAAATATTTAAGTAGTTAAAAAAGTTATAGTTATAGTTAAATTCCGGGGTCCAGAAGAAATTAAAGCTGATAAGGGACCTTACCGGATAAAACAAAAAATTGTCGTTATAGAACCAGGTTAGGAGAATAATAAAATAAATTTTTTTGGAAATGTATGGTTACAAACACAGGCCTGTCTTATGGATACAAAATATAAAAAATGCTTAATAATATATAAATAAATAATATAAATTACTCTAAATTTATTCCCATTGTGGACATTAAACATTTTTTATTTGTTAGATTCACTTTTAATTAGTGATAATATGATTTAGATGTTAAATAATAATTTAGATGTTAGATAAGATCCTAAACTATCCAGTAATATTTCTGGTACACCTAAAACCGCTTATTCTGTATATATTGTAATTTTGTATATATTGGTAATTTTATATATCGTGTAGTTTGTATATAATCATTTAACTTCCTGTAGGTTATTTACAAGGGGAGGATACCAATTTTAGTGAAACTTTTTTGGGTATAAAAGTTGTAATATACAAGTCCATATCTGAGGGTTCTTGCCAATGCGCTTGGTGAATGAAGCTGAGAAAAAAAAATTATAAAATATTTTTAAAATTAATGTTATTAATTTTTGTCTTTACTTTCCACTGATCTTCATATTATATATTGATCAATTTATTTTATAGTTTAAATTAAGAAAAAAAATCTACTATTGTATTAAATGATTTATAAATCATATTGTATCTCATTTAACAAAAACCAAAAGGTACTTCCAGTAAAGTAGGCAAAGTAAATTTATGTTAAGATAGAGAAAGTTGGATTCATTTTTAATGTTCTTTAAACCTTTAAATACATATTTTTATTGAAAATGAAAATTTCAAATTTTGCTACATGATTATCTCGGAGTATTGTTTGCATTTATAACTTCTTAAGATTTTCGCCAAATTGAACACTAGTACAACCATTGGAAAGCTGAATTAATGCATTTCTAAACCACATCAATAGGTTTTGGATTTCATTCCATTTTAAGTTAGAAATTTAGGAAAACTACCAACTTTATTTTACTTTAAGCTTATTCCACCTACATTTTTTTTGGGCTATACCTTTCACCAACATATTAATATTTTTTTTTATTATTTAATATTTATAGTTTCTCATATCTATCGTTATCTGTTTTTTTCTTAGCCCTGGTGAAGGCCTAAACTTTGTGACAAAATGTTGGCAAAAATAAATATAATTATTTATTTTTACTTTTTCTTTTTCGAACGATTACCCCAACCATTATTCTTTTCTTCAAGTTATTTTTATATTATTATGAGACTGTTTCCTTTTAGAATTAATTATAAATGGTGGAAGCAGAAGTGGTATATGGAATTTGATAAAATTGATATGGAACCATCTGGGCACCATTTTGCACAACCCCTGAAAATTTCATGAATATCGGATGAATGGTATTAGGTGACATGCCCGTTACATCATTTTGAGTATAGACAGACAGACAAATTTGATCCTTGATGTCTGAACATAAAACACAAGTGAAAATTTTCGATTCTGAGCACAGAATTTTTTTTAACCTCTAGCACGAATACAATATAGCACAAAACCTTTGATAGAGAGGAAGCAAAAAAATGTTCACTATGAAAATGACTAAGTAAAAATACTATGGATATATCAATCACAAGTTGATTAGAAAATGTAAGTGATAAATTAATTTTCTCTCATAATAATTCATGTTAAATGTAAAGTTGAGTACAATATACAATAACTCACAAAATAACAGGTAAGGCAGATCCAATTCTCAGATTGATTACTGCAATTTAAACAAGGACTTGAGATTTGGAGAAGCCTATTAGGAACCATGCCGACCAAAGGAAAGTGAGGACAAGTTGACCCATGGTCCATGAGCATATCTTCATTTTTAACAGCCTACAACAAAGTCATATAAAAAATATTCAGTGTGTACAGGTGAAATAAAATTAATGTATGGATATTTATACTATTTTTCAATGGATATTAAAACTATTCTATAAAACAGTATAAATGGCTTTAAACAAAGAGTGTTTCTCGTTTATTTACATAAGTTTTTATTATTTATATCCAGTCATTTATATCATGAAAAATCAAAAAGTAATCATCCTGATAAATTTCTTTTTTTGTAAGGATATTAGTAACTAAATAAAAGTTAAAAAAAGTTCCATTACTAAAAAAACAAACTTTGTTCCACGGCTCAACAAACAAAAAAAAGAACAAGAGCTTTTTAATTTTTTTTTTTGTTGATTATTTAAAATTAAAAAATAAGTATTACTTGTGTATTAGTTGGAGATAACACAGGTTTCGGAGCCAACACAGGTTTCTGAGCTATCACCATTGAGTTTTTTTTCTTCATTACATTAGATTCAAATGATGAGATTAGATTAGAAACCTATTGAAAATAACAGCTTTTAAATAATATCAATTATATTTAAATGCTCAATATTATATGACTTATTAAACATGATAAAATATTTAGTGTGTAATGTTAGCAAAGGTGGTTATGATACTAAATGTATTGATTTGTCTATAAGTCAACATATGTAAAAGAAAGGACGTCATTATCTATCAAAATAGTTAGTCTGTGGGCCAGACCCCCCTATCGTGCACCCCTCCCACATCCCTATAAATTGCATATCGTTGTGTTCCTTGTAACTATTTCTTTAAAAAAAGCCAATGTTCCCACAAAAAAAACTGAACACACTGCCCCAAAATGGCGTCCAAAGATGGCGGATTGACGACTTTGACTTTAGTTAGTTTTTTGGTCACTGAGAATCAGCACTATGCTTAATTTTCTCATGGTTGGTCTTTTATTAAAGCTTAATAGTCAGAGAATAGTAAAACATGAATAAATATTAAAAATTAATTGGCTTTGGCGATAAAAAACACCAGTAAAGCTAAACATTTTAACAAAAAGATTTTCAAGTTGAAAATCAAATGTCGTTTGTAATTAAACGTCCAACAATAACGCAAAATATGCAGAAATAAAACATCTGTAGAATATATTTCTCTTTTTAAAACATTGATTACTTTTTCAAATATTTTAAGCGGTTCCGTATAAAATGCACTTATGCGGAAGTAAAGTGGTGCCGGCGTAGGTGCCTACAAGCCTCTACCACACCTTTCTGAACACATAAATGGATTAGTTTTAGTGATATATTAACGTTTTTGGTACATTATAGTGGTTTTATTAACGAAAAAATATTAATGCAATAATTTAATTGTCAGAAAAAAATTAAACAATTTTTTTTTTAATTTATTATTTTATTTAACTTACTTTATTCTATGTGAGGGTCATTTAAGTAGACATCTATTGTAAAAATGATATAATAAGAATAATAATTGATTAAAAAATACTTAGCTGAATATCTTGAATTTTTTATTTAACGTTTGCAATTTAACACTTTTGTTTTGTATATTTATTAATTCTTAGAGGTAATTTAAAATAATATATACCTAATCTGAATTAAATATAATGAATAGTTGCCGGGTTGTTTTTGTAAAACTAATTGTTATGAAATTGCGGAAGAAATTGTTCGGAAGTTGCACCATATTATAAAAAAATCAAGTGCGCGCAACACACAACTTTCACTTACCAATCTACTTCAAATAGAAATTATTTTCCGGCAATGCTGGGCTATTATAAAATTTTTTGAAGTGCATTTTAAAAGGAACTAAAGCTTAAAGCTTACAGATAAAAAGTCATTAAGAACATTATAATTACAAAATGTCTATTTAATATATCGACGACAGGCAATGAAAATCTAGTCACTCCATCTGCTTTTATAAACCATCACCAGAACAATAAACCATCAATATGCTCAAAATATATTACCGCTAAACAAGGTTTTTCTATGAAGCTACGGTATCTCAAGGCTAGAACATATATCTAAAAGTACTATTAGAAGCGATATAGGGCAGGAAAAACATATTGTATATAACATTTAAGCCAGGCGGCCATGTGGTAAGGATGAGAGACGAGATTTGGCAAAAAAAAAAAAGTTTTCCTAAGCAAGGCAGAATATAATTATATAATAGTTCTTGTACAAAGTCAAATAATAAATAATTCTATTTCTATTTCGGATCGAATCTTAAAAATATAGAATGTTAATATCTTTATGAAAAGTTTTATTTGTTACTTCATCAAAAGCTTTCTAGCTTTCTTTGCTTTTATAAACCACAGAATGACTAACTCCAATTTCAACATTTTTGAGTGATGTCATTTTAGTGATATTTTTAGTTGAAAAAGTTATCTATGCAGACAATGAGTAAGTTGATTCCAGAGGTGTTGATTGCAGTGTTGAAATATAGAACTGAGAATAAAGGTATAAATTTAAGTACTTATTTCTTATGAAAGATGTTCTTAGGAAATACACTCTATTAAATATCTGTAGAAAAAAGGTTTTTTTAGTCTCAACAATTAAAAAACTACATTTTAAATTTATTCAAATTTTCGCCTCTTCAGGGAAAAAAACTAGAGACCATATCTTTCCTCCTAATTGTCTGATTTTAACGATTTTTTTTTTTGTTTTTTTGGGAAATTCCATAAACTTTTGAAAAACCATAACAATATCCCAAAAAAAGTGTATACTTTTTGAGTTATTCGGAATTTAATTTAAACATCCCTCATAACTTTTTTTCCAGCTTCTTTTCATTGAAGAATGTTATAAAGATAAATCCAAAGGGTATCGAGAAAATGACTTTAGCGAAGTTTCATTGAAATCGGTACATTCACTTAGGCGCTACAGTCTATAGCAACGCAGGTTTTTCTGTATTTTTCTCCTTTATTAACTTATCAAATTCTTTCAAAAGTTATATGTAGCATTTTTTTGTAACTCTGAATAATTCGAAATGGTCAACTTCTTAAAATAAACTATATTAAAGGTACTTTAGAGGCAGACATATATAAACATTGGGCATTTAAGCCCTGTAAAGTGACATTAACGAGGATAAGACCTAAATGATATTAAAGACCACTTAATTATACAATGATACACCGAGTTTGATCAAAATCGTTAGAGCGGTTTTTGAGAAAATTGTAAAAATGTGTTTAAGCGTTCATATAAAGTGGCACTTCCGGTTAGCCAATTTTAACAAAAAAGTTGCTATCACATCCGGCCCATATACAAACTTTAAATACTTAGTTTCGTACTACTTTTCGTTTATGAGCTAGACTGTTAACACACACACACAGACCATTTTGCGACACTTGTTTATTTGAACTCAGGGGACCTCAAAACATGTATTTCCATTGAAAACTGAGATTTGAAAATTTTCACGATCGCAATACTTACCCTTACTATATATTACATATATACGTAAGTGAAAGTAAAAATAGGAAATTTTAATATTGAATGCATTATTCCATATGTACAAATGAAGATGGTAAAGGCGAAACTATAAGTTCTTCGACTAACCGGAACTGATTGTTTGGATTTGGTCTCAAAATGAGAGAAAGCGCTAAGTTGACCCAAAAATTAGAAAAATGCACTAAGCGAACGAGAAAAGAAGTGCCAAAATATCGGAAAAGAAAAAAAAGAAACAACGGCAAAAAGAAAAGAAAATGTATGGTAGACAGATATTAAGTGGACGATGGAGGTTTATTATGTTGAAGACCACTCTATTTTCGATTGGTACTGAAGATGCACATTGAGACTATCTTCACTTTGAAGCAGGTTATATAGAGGTCTATCGAGAAAGGAAAATAACTCTCCTTCTGTTTAGTGAGTTTGCAAAACAATTTTTTAAGGAATCTAAAAGGAAAACAAGCTATTTCGGAAAGACAATTAGATATTAGTACAATCCAAAGTATGAGGCACTAAGCAGATAGAGAACTATTTTTCTTTTTATATGGACTTCTCTATAATCTGCCTTAAAGTGAAGATAGTCCCAATTTGCAACTTCTCTTCCAATGAGTCTCTCAACTATATCGCTCCGGCAATCTAAAATATTTCTAATTCTAGATTCTACGATTCTTGAGTAGTTTCTTTAGTACACTGAACAGAAATGAATCTTGAAGGGAATTACATTTCCTAGTAACTCCTTTCTTTTAAAAGTACAAAACTACCGTCCTTTCATACCATTTTCTAATACATTTGTTGCCTATGTACGGGCAGCAGTTTGGTTTACTTTGTCCAGACCACCTGACTTGCCAATTGCTTCCAACAAATCTTTCTTGCTGACAAAATGGTCTTCACCATAATAAACCTGCATCGTCCCCTTAAGATCATCCAAACTTCTCCAGCATTTGACTCCCTTTTAGCAGCATCTTGAAATATGTTGTTCATCTGTCTACTATACATTCGTTTAGCCATATAATGGATACTGGTCCTTTTTTTCTTTTCTGAGATTTTGGCACTTAATCTCCCGTTCGCTGAATGTATTTTTCCATTTTTGGGTTCAATTTCGCGTTTATTTTGAGACCAAATCCAAACAATCAGTTCCGGTTACTAGAAGGACTTAATAGTTTCGCCCTTTCCATCTTTACTTTTGCAAAGGGAATAATGCATTCAATATTAAAATTTCATATTTTTTTATGATATGGTCTAATTTCCGAAAAATTTATTCTGCAATTTCATAACAATAAGTTTTACTAAACAACCCGGCGACTATTCATTATGTGTAGTTCAGATTAGGTATATATTAATTTAGTTTATAAATCAGGTATTGATATGATTCATTTCCTGGAAAGTATATACAATTTAAATTACCTCTAAGAATTAATAAATATACAAAACAAAAGTGTTAAATTGCAAACGTTAAATAAAAAATTCAAGATATTAAGCAAATTATTTTTTAATCAAGTATTATTATTATATCATTTTTACAATAGATGTATACTTAAATGACACCCACATAGAATAAAGTAAGTTAAATAAAAAAATAAAATAAAATAATAAATTTAAAAAAAAATTGTTTAATTTTTTTCTGACAGTTAAATTATTACATTAATATTTTTTTGTTAATAAAACCAATATAATGTACCAAAAACGTTAATATATCACTAAAACTAATCCATTTATGTGTACAGAAAGGTGTGGTAGAGGCTTGTAGGCACCTACGCCAGCACCACTTTTCTTCCGCATAACTAACTAAAGTCGTCAATCTGCCATCTTTGGACGCCATTTTGGGGCAGTGCGTTCACTTTTTTTTGTGGGAACATTGGCTTTTTTTCAATAAATAGTTACAAGGAACACAAAGATATGCAATTTATAGGGATGCGGGAGTGGAGGGGGGGAGGGTGTACGGTAGAGGGGTCTGGCCCACCGTGTAAGTCTCGTCAGATGTTCAGTATCTCAAAGTGACTATCAGAGAAGAGTTCAGATTGCTGATTTTTTAGCTTGCTCTCAATATTTACATTAGCATGGATTCTTGTCTTACATGAATTACAGGTAAGGAGAAAGCAAAACACCAACATAAACAAGGTGCTGACTTTTCCCTTTATGTATCCACTGCCCCTTAAATTTGATAATGCCAATCAAACAGCAAATTATGAGAGGTAATTGTTTAATATTACAATCATTAGAATGTTCTAGTTAGTTAAGCACACATCAAAGAAATAAGTGAAAACACATAATTAAATAAACTAGGTTGCATAGAATATTTAAGCATATTTTCATAATAATTCACAGTTACAGTTTTCATGTTTTCAGTATTCACTGATCTAAAAAATAATGTATATAATCAATTTATAAGAAATGTAATATTTACTCTTACTAACCATGTTCCGAGCACTCAAGGTGTTCAAGTATTGGCATTTAGGTAGGTAAGTAAGATGGTTGGGAGTTCAGTGAGAATTTTCCAGATGCGCATTTAAGATTGTAAAGATAGATAAACAAAGTAAACTTCGTTTACCTACCTTTGCTATCTTAAAAAAAAAAAAATCTGGAAAATCCCATCCCCCCCACCAATCCTCTTACTTACCTACTTAAGTGCCAGTACTTGATCACCTTTAGTGCTCAAAACATGGTTTGTAAGAGTAAATGTTACATTTCTTATAAATTGATTATATACACATTTTTTTTTTTAGTTTGTATAAATTATTACAAGCTAAATAGGGCTTCCTTTGACAAGTCTGAAGGCCAAAAAACACACTAAAAAAAATAACTTATTACATATTTCATTTGTCTATTTCACATATCATTCATCACTAATTTTTCATAATTAATCATTAACTCTTATATTATATCTCTGATTCTATTAAACAATTTTACAGCCCTGATGATGACCCACAGCCACATGCTTGACTTAAAACGTCAGCACCAATAAAAACATTACAATTGACTACGTCCTGACTATTTATCACCAATAATATGTTTATTTAACAGCTACATTTTTATTTACTTTACTGAGCTTAGTGAACAATATCCTCACACACCTGCTGGTAACACTGGACCAGCCCCTTCATCTCAAGCTTTAATTTAGTTGAATGAGACTATAAGCATATTCAAAATACTTCAGTGTAAATAAATTCAAACCAGAACTTGGGAAGGTGTTGCCATGAATTGGAGGGAGCATGATGGTCTAAGAGAGGCTAAGATATTGATTCAATAATCTTCTCAATCAAGAAAAAAGTTGCTACTGGCTTTAGAAAAGGAAAAACTGTAATATATAATTGGATTAACAGATTAAAAATATACTTGAATGTTTGTAGGATAATTGATGATAAGATTTGACACTTATGTGAGCATGCTCTGGAAGCTGCCATACAAATTATAACTGGCTCGACCAACATGGGCCTTGAGAAACATTATCATATGCTGAGATAAAATCCAGGTGCAAGGAAACATGGTAGACCCTCTCAGATTTTATTAGGAAAATTGTAAGATTCTGAATAGAGGAATCTGTGAAATATGGATTAGTCTCTAGATAATAATTTTGAATGTTAATAAGGAATGAAACCACTAGCTACAACTTTATCTTCGACCAATAGTAGCAGCTAAACATATTTTATCCATAAGACAGTGTCGCGGATAAGAATATTTTCATAAAACATATACTATAACGCAGTCAAGGTTTGTTAAACAGTTTGTCAATAGGTATTAAACATCTACAAGGATACCCACATTGGGTTGTGGGTGGGTAGCCGAATGGGCTAACGAGTGTGCACAGCACCACTGTTGCCCGGTAACCTGATCAAGAAAAATTGATAAAAAAAAATAGTCACTCACGAGTTCGTGTTCCGGTGCCAAGAGGATCTTTTAGATCCCTGGCCCGGGAAAACCCCGTATAGCCTTAAAGGCGATGAAGGAGAGGATTCGAAAAAAAAAAAAGAAAATATAACAAAAAAATAATAAAAAAAAAGATAAAAAGATACCCACATTGATCCTCGGTCCAGTAGCTAATCAAGATGTTTATTAAAGAGTATTTTAGTCATTCCTGAGATTGGTTGAGCCTTCCTAAAGATAATAGTATTATCATAGGTAGTATATAGTTTTTTTAAATAACGGTTTGTAGTATGAAATCGATTAGTATTTACTAAAAGTAAATTCAATAATACATTAAACATACTATTATGTCACACTCTAAAACAAGAGTGCCCAACCTTTTTATGAACCTTGCCTCTACCGAAATTCCTCATACTGACCTGTGAGACAACTGTAGTCTACCTCTCTTAACTTTATCACCTTCATAATAATTATTTCTTACTACTCTTATTATTTCAAAAGAATACACGTAAATTTCAAGAAGATACCTATGTAATGGAGGAGTGGGGTAGAAATCAACTAACGGTAGGCCACTGAATAGGTCCAAATCCCGGGTCATGGAAGAAAAATGATTTATTCTGTTTTATCTGCAATGGGGCAACACTGACATAAGGAGATTCTCTTGAAGCACACCCTTCCTCTATAAAGTGGGTACTCTTAAAGAAGCAATTAGTAAAAGGTAAAAACAAGACGGTTCAGTGTGATCTCAATCAAATCTCCTCCTCGCAAAACTGTTGACCAAGACAAAGTACTTTATCTAAATAGTACAGAGCCCAAGACCCTTCATGGATTGTAATGGTACAGGTTTTTCTATCTACGTAATGGAAACAGTCAGTAATTATTAATCATGCAATAAAATGTACATTTGGAGTAACCAACTCCAACATACTTGGTAATTGTCCAATGTAACAAACTAGAAGTCAAATTAGCCTTACAGACAGGGAACTTGAATCCTTTTTTTTTTAAGTATCAAATATTAAACAAACAAGGCAACCACGAGTCAATTACAAGCCCCCATCATGTCACATGGCACAGGTGTTGTGTGTTGCATATCCTTGGCTCTTAAGTTATTAAAAACAATTATAAATTAAAATCTTAAACCTATTAGGAGAATGATTAATTATATAAATTATGTAATAGTAAACTTAAATAATAAAGCAAAAATATTACACTGATGTTTTTTCTGTTTGTTGACTTCTGGAACACTGATTATTCACACTCAAAAGGAAATAAAATCCTTCAAGATCTTTTTTAGTTTTGCAGGTATCTAAAATATCATATTTTGAATTCAAACTGGCAAATACTCGAAGAATATAATCTGGCAGGGCAATATGCTGCCCTCGAACTAAATATGCAAGGTTTGATATCACTTTGTATACATCTGAAGTATTAAATTTAAAATCGTCTCTCAACCATGAAGATAAGTAAGGAGATTTTAACTGGTCTACTTTAGATATCAGTTCTTGAAGAATGTAGCAAAATTTCAGGTCAGAACTCAGGAGGCCGTAAAATAATGACAAAATGATACTTTGAGCTGTGGTTAATTCTAAAATTGTCATTTCTGCATTATAAACCGATGAGTTTGCTCCAAAACGTACAGCTGTTAACATTTTGCAGGAAACAAGGCCTGATAAGAGTTTTGATACTCTTAATGCTTCATAGTCGATGTAAGCGGGCTTTGGTAAATTCATCCTCCTGTTGACCAAAATTTTTAATTAGTTATAGGAAAAGAAGACAAAAATATATTAAAAAGAAGTGTAATAAAAAATAATGTTACAAGCATTACAAGTTTTAATTAGCATATCACTAGTTTCGAACATACTTAAAAATAAATAATTTTAAATAATAAATAAATAATTAAATAATAAAAAATAAATAATTTTCCAATTTTTTGTTATGATAATCAACAAGATGATTACAATTAAGCATAAGATATATAATATATATATTTTTTTATTTGTGCCAGCTATCTTCTAAACTGGTTATGTACAACAGCTAGTGGGTATCAAAGGTGATGTTATCAGATGAAATTCTCAAATCAATCAATGATTAACATACAAAAAAATATATTCAGAGAAAAATGACCGATTCTTTCTGAATATAAGGTAACATCTATTGGTCTATGTCATAAGTTAACAAATAAAAATAAATATATTTTTTTCCATAATGAATAATGAACAAAAGAAATGTTTTTTCGATTTTAATTAGCTAGGCATTTTATGTTATACGAATCAATGTAGGTATAATTTTTAATAGGAATTTTTCTTACTTTCGATAAGAAAACCTATTTGGTTTCAATAGCTTTATCATGCTATGCCAATATTAAGTTTACTTGTTTTATTAAAAAACTATTAATTTTTTTTCATAGTATATAAGAACATTATTATTCATGATAAACAAATTAGTTTCTTTCAAAATAATGCAGTAGGGACAACTAATCTGTCGCTGTTTAACGATTGATCAGAAACCTGTTCACTGTTATTGAGTACAACATTGTATAGTTGTAGGAGGATAAAAAAAAATCACGAATAATACATTGTTTAAATGAAAAACACAACTTAGCATATTTTGGCAGTTCAAACTCTACTTGAATTTCAAGGAAATTTTGTCAAGAATCACCTCCCGAAAATAAGCCATTAAGAAGAGACACAACGTATATTTATATATATTTTTTTTAACATTGAAGGGGGTCACAGCTGTCTCACCTTATCCCTCTCTGGGAATTCCCATATTATAATCTTGTTAAATTTCATGATAACAGCAAAATTTCATAACTGATCTATGTAATTTAGATACAGGAACATCCTAGCAACAATTTTTAAGGAAAGTAGCTAAAAATGGAATTTCCAAACAATTTTAGCAGTTGGAACAATATTTCCCAATAACTTATTTAATCCAAAAATAATTTCTTAGAAATTTAAATATTTAGAACCAATATCCAACTAGAAAACAACTTAAATTATTAATTTTAAATATTATACCAAATGTATTTCTTTGGTAAAAAAATATAATTTTCTCAACTATATTGAACTTTTTTCGTACCGGTTGTATAGAACACAATAAAACAATATTTTTCTTGTTCTATTGAAACACATTATTATATTGATAAAATCTCAATTCCTCAACTTAAATTTAATTTTTATTCATTATAACTTTAATAACACTTTGAGTAAAATGTTTTACCACAAATTTCGCAGTTTAAATTGGGTTCGCAAATGTCTTAACTTTTTGGATTTTAGAATTATGGGGAAAGGGACACTTTATCTGCCTCCCCCAAACCCATGTTCTTCCATTAATCATTGATGCTCCCATTCCCATCACTCCAGAATTGATGCACTTACCCTAGGTTAGACATTTAAACAGATTTTAAAAATGCATTTTGAATTCATATTATTTAAAACCAATTATTTGACTCAAGAATCAATTTACAAGTCAGAGAAATCAGGAAAACAAATGATTGATTTGAAAAAGTACCCACTTTAGGCTGGAGCAATCTTCTATTTTAGTGGATTAAAAACCCATAGAAAATTCAACACTCTGTAATCTGGTTAAATAATAAAACAGAATTTTCTCTTTAAAAAACTGTTAAGTATAAAAATATCAAATTTCATATATGAAAAAATAACTATTTAGGAAAAGTGATAAGATTTTCTGATTAAATAAAGTTATTTTATATTCCTAGTTCTATAACCTTCACCTAGTGTGAAAACAGTTAAATAAACATAGGTAATAACAAATAACCGGCGATTTTCAAATTATTGATTAAGTTATTTTGAAGTCATAACTAATTGATTAATAAACAATAACAAGCGTATTGTTTAACATAATAATAATAATGTATTTCAATTTGTTTGATAAAACAGGAGCCGTCCAGGATATCCGGCCGCTAACGATTTATTTCGATTTTCAAATAATTTTGCGCGCCCCATTTATGAGAAGCTAAGCAGATGCAGCTGAAGCCCCCACTACAGCAAACTAACCTCCGTGTCTGTTATCAGTTGTCAAGATGTCAAGTTTAATTTGGTAAAATTACTTTCTTTCAAGCACCATAGTTCAGGAGCCAGTTACGAATAGTTTTCCCATCCTCAGACAGCTCTTTACGAAATATATTTCATAATTAACTCGGAATTGAAGGAAGAAAACTTAAAAATAAATTTCGAAATCTATATTATAAACTATAAACTTTATAAGCAATTAACAAAAACAGTAAAATGGCAAAAATCTATGAATACGTATAACTTCACTTTTTTTTTTTTTTAATTTCCAGAGGAATTAATCATAAAATCATTGTTCATATTCTACAAAGAGTAAAAACTAAAACAAACCAGGTTTCTAATAAATTAGGCCATAAATCATAAATTATACAAGAATATAAGAAGCCTTCAGTTGACAGAATTAGTAACTCAAATCTTAATAAAATTTACAGTGAAGAAGTATTTAATTAAAATAATATATTTAGTACTTCAATAATAAATTCATAATAACTAAGGTCAATATCACATTTATGTTTTAACCATTATAAAGACTTTTACGGATCATTAAAGAAAAATATAATTACAAGAAGTTCATCGCTCCAACATAAATTAACAAATAGGCTGGCTACCAAATTTAACTGAATCTGAAACTAAATAACACGAAATTTCTTAAAAAACATAAATCGAATACGTCAATTTCTTCAATAAGAGGAGGAGGTCATAATGAATTATTAATCACAAATAAACTTTATTACTTTAACATAAATATCTTGTTATTCAATGGTACATGAAAAGAAAATATTTAATCAAAATCGAAAAAATGAAAACGTTTGAAAAATTACAAAGCTTTGGTGTTCGAATGGCTACTAATATTCCAGTCAATAAAAAAAAAAACTAAAAAAAAAACTTCAATAATGATTTGGTGGAATATCACATATTTAACAACTGACAACAACAAGTAAATTTTTACAAAGCTAAGTATCAATTAGAAACGAATTCTTAAGTTGTTTGAAGTTACGCAATTGAACGCCTTAGTCGAAAAGTTGATAACAACAGAGTATTGAATTATTAAGAGAATGAAAATACTCCATATGCAGTACGAATTGTAGGTAATGAATGACATTTCTTTATATTTTTGTTTAAATGAAATTTAAAAATATGTTACGTTTACGCTTTATATTTAAGCTCATACTTGAACAATATAACAACTATCAAATCTAAAAGAGTTCAGATTTGATGATTCAATTCAAATAAGAAACAGAAACTAAAAATATATTTTAAAAACATTTCTAAATTACCTGATTGTATACTCCAGAATAGGTTAAAAAATTATCAACAGGATGTTAAGAGATGAAACTTGAAACTCGTACTGAAAGAGTGGGGAAAAGCGCGGAAGCGTCCCCACTATTGCAACTATGGGAATCACAGTTTGATAGACTGTTTCTTATCTTTGTATTGGTTTATAGCACTAACGGATCCAGGATTTAATTTTGGGGTGGGCTTCAGCCCGAAATTATTTATATATATATATATATATATATATATATATATAGTATAACGATAATTACTTTGGAAGACATAGAAAAAAACTATATGGAATGGTGTATTAGTGATTCTTGAAGTACTAATAAATGCAATTACACGAGTAGTAATACTTTTAGAGATAATTTTTATATTTTTTTCAGCAGGCGTCTCCACTTCGGCCAGAAAGCACATCCAGGCAGGCCCGCGACTGTTTCTTTGATTATATAGTGAAATTTTAAAACTATTTAAAAAAAAACCAAATGAAGTAAATCACTCAAACAGGAAGTTTCTACAACATTTATTGCACGAGTTGTTTCTCTTAGAAAGCTCATTTCGCAGCTGAAAGGTCATTTATTTATCACAAGCCCACGGGACTTTGTGGATGCCTCTGTCCCGGCACCTATGGAATTTCGCAGACAATTTCGTTTAGTGAAGAAATACCAAAAAAATATGGAAATAAGTAGTTCCTATGTATTATGTAATGAAGGAATTAATATTTTTCCCTTGGTCGATTACAATATTCCATTAAACATAATAGACAAAAATATTTGTACAAATTGCTTGGCAAGGACCTATTTTTAAACGCTGACTGGAAAGATAATAAAAGTAATAAAGACAAAATAATGCCTTTCATGTGATTTTCTAAGTTTTTAAAAAAAATAAAATTAAGAACAACCAAATGTCATTGAGAAATAATAAAGTTAATGTATCAGCCTGGAAAACAAAGCGTAGTAGACTATTCTACTCCTAAATGCTATGTCTTTAAACAGGAAGACATTATTAAGTATACCAGAACTAATAGACTGTATCTTTGTTAATAATTGTCCGATTTTTACGATTGTTTTTATTGCTTTGTGGGTAATTTATTAATCTTTCTAATTATAATCACCAATCAAGAAAAAAATTAATACTTTTTGAGTTATTCGCAAATGAAGTTTCTTTTCCTTCATAACTTTTTTTCCAGAAATTTCAGGGGATAGGACTATTTTTCGCATGTGAAGGAGAAGAATATCTTGAAAATGAGTGGTCAATCATTGGATTTTTTGATGAATTGACGAAGTTATGGTGTACCGACAAAAAAACACCTTTTAGAAATAATTTATAGGATTATTAATTATCTTATTAATTAAATTCTCATATTAAGCATGCTATAGCGATAAAAAAGTAAAAAACATTTATGTTGGTGACATTTATGAAGGACCTCCAAAAACATGCGGAAATAAACTAATACAAAACAATTATTTTCTGGCCAAACATAAAACGTTACTAGACAAATACAAACAATGATCTTCGGACACTTAATAACAAAAAAGGGGCCCCCAATCATTCTACAGTACAAAAAAGTACAAAACGTTTAAGTAAGGAATTCCCCAAAAATTTACGGAAATAAGCGAATACAAAACAATTATTTTTAAGGTACCCGAAAAGCAAAAAACAAAGTTATTTTTGTCCCCCATGGGGCGCCCCCATACTCGACTGTCCTCAGTGATTGCCGACTAGCCGACCTGACCAGACCGGGCTTACACTAGTCATAATAAAATCTGTAGAAGAATTAACAACAAATCGTTAGAACTACAATACCCTTTTTGGAATCGAGTTCCCAGTATACGTAACTGAACTAAGTTTCCATATGTAAGACAAATGTTCTCGGAATACGAATCTCAGTGGCTTCCTGCTCTCTTTCCTTTGTGTAAAATATTAGAATAAAATCCTCATCTGAATCCTATCCGCATCCGTTATAGGGAGTATCCATTATGTAAATGTTTTTCATACTGTACAATTACTGAAATAAGATGGGAATGATAAGTTTATTCGCTACTGGAAGTTTCACTATATACCTTATAAATTTTGAATATTTTCTTTTCCGTTCAACTTCAAAAGAATATGATGTAATTAAAGCAAGGCCGTAGAAAACATCAATGCCAATAATGAACATGACATGGATTCATGCAATGTATTTATCTCTTTTAATCGTTATTCGTCGTAGAAAAAATCAGCGTTATAGAAATAGAAGTATTTTAAATCAGTCATTAGACCCCTTTAGCACTCATCCTCTAATTACAGAAATAAAAATACAATTAAAAACATTTAAAGACGCTGGTTGTAGAGTATTGTTTTTATTGATAATTGGTTACAGTGGAATTCCTGGAAATGAAAATGCAGACACACAGCCGAAACGAGCAATAAAAAATGGTCAAGTATTTTGAATAAGTGATCGCGACGATCTAATATATTGGATCAATGAAAAAGGATGGCTGGAGTGGCAAAACCAATGGTTTGGCATGACAGAAAATAAATTAAGAAAAATCGAACAATGTGTTAAACATCCAAGGAAAAGTCTACAGCTATCACGGAGAGAAGAGGTAGTTCTTATCCTCCTCAGGCTTGGCCATTGTCGACTTACCCATGGATATCTGATGAAGAAGGAAGAACCGCCAATATGTTCTTACTGAGGGTGTATTCTAACAGTGCATCACATACCAACTGAGTGTATGGCTCACGACTCCTACAGACCCAGAACAAATATTGAGACAGGATCCGCACACTACTTCACGATTTATGAAATTCTTAAAAAACTATCGACATTTATAATAAAATTTAAAAAAAAACTTCAAGAGACTTCAGTGTAAATGATCCCAGTGGTCGAAATAAATATTATATTATTAATAAAATAGTCATTATATTATATTAAAAAAAAACTCGTGTGAACTGCCTTATGTTCTACGTTAGTTATAACGCCGACCTATAAATAGGTCGGCATGGTGATAGTTTTTATACATTTTTACTAGTTTGGTCTATTGATGAGGGTAAGTTTTAAAAGTGTTTTTGAATTTTTGGAGGGAACTATATTTTTATGGGATTTCAATTTCCCAATTCAATTCACAGCAAATGTAATCGTATGAACTTCAATAATATAATAATAATATGAACTTCATTTTTTTCTAATTCTACTTTAGTTCTATTTTTAAGAAG